AATGCAAAATTTACAACATGATAACTAGTTATAATGTAAGTTTTGCATTTTCTTCCACCCTAGTATATTCAAAATTTACCACATGATATTTCTCTGAAAATTCAACATGTGAAATCATTTTAATGTTCAGGCCCGTAGGAAGCAAATTCAGTTGGGGGAGGGGGGGCACAGCCATACATTTTCAGTTGACAGTTGAGGGGGCACTACCAAAAATTTACTGACAAGCAAAAAAAAAGGTCATCAGACGATTTTATTGAGGGGGCACAAGCATATAGTATCTATGTTTACTATAGTAATCTATATATCGGCAAAAGTATTGCCCCCCCCCCCCCCCCGGTTCCTGCGGCCATGATGTTTGTACATAAACAGTCATGCATAATGCTAGCAATGAACGAAAGATATTAAGCTAGTAGCTATAAGAGTATTACAGTGTATGTGGATCCTAGTATATACATGTACAATGATTACGATTTACAATCGCAGAATTAGTGGACAAAGCGATTTCTGTTACCCCCCCCCCCCTTTCCACTTGTTTATGGCTTATGAAAAAGTTGATAAATGTTCTACGTATGTTGTAACACCATGGAGAAAGGGGCCTTAATGAGAATGTCTCTGCCAGTCGCAAATAATTAAATCGGTTACATTTGAACATAACATTTTCCAAACTGACTTGAACACGGTAAAAGGCTTAAACTAATTAAGAGTGGGTAGGGATGGTACAACCCTCCCCCCTCTTTCTCTCTCATTTTCATCATGGATAATAACAGAGTGCTTTGAGAAACGTTTGTTGTTGCTTTATTTATCTACATCACCAAATTACTTTTTCGCAAAAAAGAATTTCTTGCCTACTATACTTATGAAAAAAATAAAATATCCTGATGGTTAAAAAGTACTAGCATCATGATCAAGTCCGGTGCATGTGCAAGATTTCCAGGCCGAACAAAATAATCCTATATTCAATGACGTTTAAATCTAGAAACGGAACAGTGACTGTCATTTAAGAATGAAGATGTAAATATATAGAAGAGAAGGTGGAGTGAATATCATGAATACTGGTCATCTTCTCAAGAACTAAATTGCGGTGGAATATGAAATGGATGCTATATATGCCTCCCCCGAAGTTTTTCGAGTGCAGAAATTCGTATACGTCCATTGTAATGGAATTTAGCTTATAATGCCATCTCCCCCCCCCCCCCCCTGTCTCTCTCTCTCTCGTGTTTTAATTTTTTTAAAAATTATTATTAACGTTCTTATGATGTCTCCCAGGAAAGGAAGGAGACATTGTGTATGGATTTGGTAGTGTTTTCTGTCTTTCCGGCTTCCTAGCTAATTGTTGGGTTTTTTTTCAGCTATGTCCTAAAGCTCACATTTCGAAGGTCAAGGTCATTAAGCAATGAGACAGGGGACTGGTGTTCTCATGATATAACTGTGGAACCCTCGAAGATCTTGTTGGCAATGATCCAAAGATCATCCATGTACCTTATTCAAAATCTTGAAGGTTAATGTCACTTAACAATGGTATGCATTATGTTTATACATAATTTACAGCATTGGAAACCATGAATAGAATGAATTCAAATCTTTGATATGATGTTTCCAGCGCTAAAGGAGTATTATGTTCTTTACTCAAGGTCATACCTTAATGGCTATAATGGTACTGGACAATGAGATGCTAAGTATCGTGCATGCCCAGGAAATGCTTGATTCAAAATATTTGAAATGTATTCAAACTTGGGTATGTTGCTATAGTGACATAAAAATACAATACATTGTCGGACTCAAACACCAGGGTTGCAACTTAAATAACGTTTGAGTATATTCAATCCCTTACATTTCAGACCACTAATACGTCCATTCCCCCTCTTTTTTTTGTCTGAGAAGTCTTTTGCTGTTAATTTTGAAAAGAAAATTTCATTCTAAGGCCAACTGGCCCCCATCCCCACTTTCTGAAAAAATTTTCTCTGCCGAAATAGACTGCACCCCCCCCCCCTCGTGTACGATATCAGAATTTTGAGTTTCGTGAGATTTAGTTTCTTTTCTTTTAGATTGTCAAAGTATCCTCCTTTCAAACTGAGGATGCTACATGCACGTGTCTGAATTTCTTAACTATATATATTTATACGTACTTTAAGTTTTGAATTACCTTTGAAAAAAATAATAATAATAATTCAAGCACATTTTATAGGTCATGCAGTGATGGTCGGGTATACAATTGGAGAAGAGGGCAGACATCTGCCCCCCCCCCAAATAAAAACAAACAAAAAACAATCAAACAAACAAAAAAAACAACAAAAACAACAAAAAACAACAACAACAAAAGAAACAAACAAACAAACAAAAAAAACCCAAACAAAACCGAACAAACAATCAGACAACGTAAGCATGTTTTTAACTACTATGATACACTTAATTAAATTACCCATATTTCTAGGATTATGTATCTGTCAAATTTATTGATTATTTTTTCTGTAAATAAAAAAAATGCGGAGCACTAGTACATAAAACATTTCATTGACTTATTTTACAGTACATAAAATATATGTATTACCCCGGTAATATAATTATATTGATTATTTTCACTAATTTATAAAGATATACTCAATAGTAAATTGTTTAAGTGCATGTAATTGTGTTTATTACATTTTCAACAGTGAAATACTGTGATTTATTTATTGAATAAAAGTGATATTCTCTCACAGTATGAAAGTATACCAAAATGATATTCTCTCACAGTGTGAAAGGATATCAAAGTAAGTAAAAAATAATTTCTGGCCTGTCATAAGATAGAGATAGTAACTAAGCATCTTGATAGAGCTAAAACTGCAAATTTCTTCCCAAATATGTTGCTAAAATCCATGATATGTAATGTTTTCAATCACACAACTGCTAAGCTACGATCGACGTCTCAACCACTCAACTATGACGTCAAGCCTATGACACTGTGTTAAGAAAAGACAGAAGCAAAGGGAAAATCAAAGAAAATGTAATAAACAGAAAATTCAATGTTTTGTAGATGAATATGGAATTTATTTCACAAGTGGGACAGGATTTTTTGATATTTTCACGAGTGCTTCGCACTCGTGAAAATATCAAAAAATCCTGTCCCACTTGTGAAATAAATTCCATATTCATCTACAAAACATTGAATATCCTCTATATATGTGTTTTCATTTACTGGCAAGTGTCAATAAATAGGCAGACATTAGTTTTGTGTGTGGACACTTCGACCTACGATATTTTCCACACGTGTTTTAAATAATTAATTCTCATTTCCTCAATATTTAGGAAAATAAGACTGGAAAAAGAAGAATATGAACGGATTCCACGAACAAATGCAAACTCCAGGTAAGAGAGAGAGAGAGAGAGAGAAAGAGAGAGAGAGAGAGTAGATGGGATTCGGAGTTCATAATCATCTCCGATTCAACTATTATATATTTTTCTTCCCATGAGGTGGCGCTGTAAACATTGATGGACGAAAGATGATTATTGAAAAACTAGAGTGCTAGTTTTTTATTCTAAAAAATCCACATTTCAAGAAAATAAGAACTTTCAAAATATTTTTCGAGCGTTATTGAACTGCAAAGGTAAGTAGATTATCTTGCATGGCGTGATGCATTGTTGTTTTGGCCATTTAAATCAGGCGATTAAAAGAAGTTATTTTTAAATGTTCCGACACTTTAAATTTCGATTGTATTTCAACAACTAGGCGTTTTCGTAATAATATTTATGGAGGTAAAATAGTGACATCATTATGGAAACGGTTTCTGATGTAAAACAAGAAGCAGGTAAAAAATGAAATTATTTAAAATAACGTCATCAAACATCAAATCTGACATTTATTTGCGTGTATATTTCACAAAATGTTATATAAATTTTTCGTTCAAGGTAGGCCTAACTGAATTTTCAATCATTCGCTATTTATAGTCCTATGGTAAAAAAGCCTTCATATAAATACACCCTATACATGTACGTATATATGGAGGGGTATTTTTATTTATATGGATAAAATTTCAGATATATGTGGTTTATTCATTAGCTTGTAAACTATCATCTTAGCTAGAAACAGAGAAAAACATTTCACTTGCCTGTACATTTTGCTAAAATGACCCAGGTACTACAGGTATATATGCATCTTTTTTTTTCAATAATTCTAGTGGTATGGAGATGGGTGGAAGAGGGGTATTTGTTTGTAAATATGTATTCATATATGAAGAGGTCCTAAACCCTTCTTAATCTCTTTATAGATAATATGATAGATAATTTCAAATTTGTTAGTAGGATGAGTGTAAGAAATTAAAAACCTGTTGCAGAGACCCAAGCTAATACAAGTATTTCAAAAATATGTTGAACACCTTTGACATCCTTGTGGTGGAGAGTTTTTATAGCTACAACAGAAAATTGACAGATGATGATTGATGATATCAAGCTAGTCATCAGCTAGTCATCAGCTTAGGCTTCATAATGTGATGAGAAGCTTTTCCTGTAATAAGCTGAATGACACTAAGACAGCTATAAGTATTAAATGTGTGTAACACAGCTATGTGATAATTTCCTGTTGAAATCATGGCTGCATTTATTTCACTAATTGTTGAAAAGAAAGCAGCAAGATTACAATTTCAATGATTTTTTTTTTTACTTCAGTAAATATTTTCCATGATGTAAATTGAGAATTACTGGTACTTTGCATATTTTGATATATGAAAATGATGAAAGGGGGATTCAAAAGTTACTTGTGGTACCAGTTTTAGTAGATTTCAACCTTCACCCTTGAAGAACAGACACATCTTGCTGTGAATGTGTATTTATAAGCACATTATAAAAATATTAATAAAAACAATAATATGACACAGTATTCTTCTTTCAGTCGATATGAAGTTTCAATGTAAAATAATGTGATTTGTAGACATTTGAAAACTGACCATCAATCAGAGTTATCTCTCTTTGTTCAGATATTATATGTTTTCTCTTTTCTCCAGTGATATATGTGGAGGATACTGACTTGGAGGATAAGATCATTGGATCAATGATGCCCAGACATCCCAGTGGTGATTCCAACCCCTCCACACCTCGCAAAGCCCCCCTTAATGGTACAGTAAGCTAAATTTTATCTAGTATATGTATAAATATCAATTGATGTAGGGCCTATAATTAAGCCATGGCTCCAAACTCAAATCTTTTAATGACATATTTTTAGGTTATAGGTCTCCATTACTTATGTGAAATGAAAATATTTTTGCATGTGCATGTTTAGGCATTGAGTTTGTTAACTTGGAGGTCCGTGTTATAGGATATCCAAAGACTTCCACTGTGATGAATGTGGTCTTTGGACTTAAATGCTATCATGTCAAAGATAAAGAATCAGAGTAGACACATGCTTTGTAATAGTTACTTTGCTTCCTGATAATTGAAACGATGATTGTGTCTTTACACGATCAACATCATTAATTGTAATTAGGTACACACTGGTGTTTCAAACAATTCTTGTTCTATGGTCATGAAGGGTCCTTTGATTTTGCTTTCGTACTTGTAATTAAATGTTCCAAAGTATTTCTGTAGAATACAGGACTTTCAATGATTTTGAAGTGAAGAGGTGAATTTATCCACTTGAAGAGCCTGTTTTAGAATTATTACCAATAGTTTATTTTGCCAATTATGAAATCTGTTCACAGCGGCAAATTCTGATCATTGAACCATTGATAAATCTCCTCCTTCCACTTATTGAAAGCCCTGAGAATATAAAACACTTAAGCATGAAGCTGTTAATTCATTGTCAAAAGTCCTAGCAATTGCAACAAATCAAAATTAAGATTATTAATTAACAAGAAGTTTTCTTGATGAAACACACTTAAATAAGATGATTTTTTTACCGATGTAAAAAGTGCATAGTATTTTGAAAAGAAATGAATATTTGCACTTGTATCTGCACTGAACAGTGTTGCGTGACAGGAAAATCTATCTTTAGGTGTTTGGAACATTGATTGGTAAATGTCTACAGGAACTCAGACACTATATTCAATACATCTGCTTGATGCAGTAAATATTTGGCCAATCTTGTGCTATTTCTGCAAATGAGGTGTTCAAACTCCAGTACATTAAATATTCATTACACAATGCTGCTTAAAATGATAATATTTTCTGTTAGTTTTTTTTTAGTGTGGTGTAAAACTTTTTGGTTATAGAGGAATATTTTGCGTAACACAAGTAGTTGTTTGCTATCTAGGTAGTTTTCTTAACAAAAGGCTGTATCAACAAAGATGTGAAATCTAATACTTTAAAGGTTGTGTAACTTTCATTTAATTGTTTATGAAGCACTGAAAGCCCCAAATTTTCCATTCTTTATTTCCTTCAGTGGTTATTCAAATCACATCATACAGCCAAGTTCCTGTGCACTGATTGGTTGACGGCTTTATACTATCATTACCTGTAGACAGTAAAATATAGGTGATCTTACTCAACAGGTCTTGAAATATACTGTAAATCACTTTTTATTTGCAAGAACTTTATTTTCGCGTAATTACGCGAGACGACCTGGCGACCGTTTCACTAACAGATCGCAAATCGTAAACATATGATTACGTTTACGATTGCCAGACGTGCACGTAAACGAGCGTTTCATTAAACCTATCATAAATGTAGCACTTACGACTGGCGAGTTACGACCAACTTATTAGAACTCTTCTGGCTAAGGAGGTGTATTTGTTTGTTTGTTTTAGAGAGAGATTACGAAATTAAAAATTATATTTAAGTGAATCGCCATTTTTCTTAGTCTTAAAATATAAAGAATGAAAGATAAGGACATGCAAGAAATTAATGAAATATGAATTACTAAAAAGAAAAAAATTATTTCATATATTTATTCTATGCATAAAATTTGATAAAAATTCCTTTAAAACTAGGATCATATGCATTGATTATATTTAAATTCATTCTTGCATTTTACGTCTATTAATTGACCAGTATAGTCCACAATCAGTCAAGGGCATCATGGAAACAAGTTATTTTTAAAATAATTTGTTTAAGTTATTAAGTGTCATTATTTTGGGTTATCTTTCCCTGATTATGCTTTTCTTCAGTGACTTATTCCAGTTATTGACACTTTATTATTCATTATTTTAAACCTACTGGCATCTGAAAAGCTTTATTCATTCTGTACTTGGGTTATTAAGTAGATGGAAAAGGTTCATGACAGTAAAAGTAATCTATCTTTAAGATTTAACAAGTTGAAATTCAACAAATCATAACTTATTTCAGTTATTTCAACCTTAACCAACCTCACTTTAGAACTCTTGCACAAAAATCTACAGCTCTGCACAAAAATTGTAAGACATAGAGATTGTACAGTGATATTCAAGGATTTTAGGAAAATTAGTCTCACTGTTGGCAAAATTGGCGGAATTTGTGTAATTGACTTCTGAAATGTTCATGAAATGGAATTATTTTTCCCTGAAAAATATCATGATGTTTTGATAAATATCATCCTATCTGCTCAGGAGATAAGAAGTCTGTTGAGTCCGTTAAAAGAAGTACATATATTTACAACTTTCTCAGCCTTACATCATCTTAAATCAGCTACAAACTCAAAATATTGATGTTTTATATGGCAAAATTGATAGTCATTCTATGTTTTAAGAATTAACTCAAATGAGTTATTTCTTTGTTTAGTAATAAATAAGTGAAGTAACCTAAAAAAGTTATTTTAAAAAATAACTTGATTCCATCATGCCCCTGACTGACAATGGTGTAAAATGTTCTATTTTACTTCAAGATAAAATTTATGACACACTCATGGTGTAACAAACATTTTTGAAAAAAGTTTATTTCCGGTTGTATGTATTGACTGTTCTCATTTCATGTTCTGTCAACAAAATTATAATAAATAAATATAACAATTCGGTATATATTTTTAAAAAATATTTCTAATACTCCCATGTGGGATTGTCAAAGTACTTTTAAAAAATAAGTTACACATTTAAATATTATTATTTCGATTCTTTCTCTGCTTTCTGCTTCATCAACTTCTCAGAGAGCAATTGTTTTTCACACTTTATTCTTTAGAATTTCTAATTTGTACACAACACAAATCTATAACATATAAGTAAAGATTTAGCAAACTATCCATCTCGATATCTCGTGCAAATCTTAAACATCGGGAAAATATTTGCGCAAAATATTTCCAAGTTATCAAACTACATTATTAAAATAAATCCCTATATATAAATTGACACGGTACAAAAGTTTTAACAGGCGCTGATGATTCAACAACTGACTACCCACTCCTAATAGAGTTTGTATATCTAAATGTAACTGCACCTATAAAGTTAGAAGGGTTGATTTGATTTTATTATGCCCAATACGTAAATCAAAAAAAAAAAAATAACGCTATTAATATCACACCAGTTCAAGTATACTGCATGCTCACGTATTTCCATGATTTAATATTTAGAAAAGAAGAAAGAAACAGTGGGAAAGGGGGCTTTCTTTATTTAATTTTTATTTCTGAGCCAGTGTTGAATTCTATAAAAGGTTTGTGGAGAAGATGTATCTATCTTTTGAGCTCTTTTTTTAAAAACATTGTTGAAAGGGAATGCAATCGTACCTAATGTACCCCAATTTTTGACTGTATTTTTATTTATTCATTTAAAATGAAATTTAAACTTGAAGTTTTTATTACAAGTTGCTAGTATATATGTACATTGTATTTTTTTTTTCTACTAAGCAGGAGTTTTAAGATCTGACTCGGTTTACACTACACAATTTACCAGTATTGTGACTGAAAGCAGACAAAGATGTGAAAAGTGGCAATATTTTTTCGTTTTCTTGCTTATATTTTGTTTTGTGTTGCTTTTTCATGAAATTACTTGCACGTAAGTATCTTAAGAGTGCTCCTGACTGCTCGTAGACTTACAATCAACTTTAATCGTAATTTGCAAATCGTAACTCTTAGTGAAACGCACTTACGTGCTACATTCACGTTTACGTCTATGTTTACGATCTACGACCTGTTGGTGAAACAGTCGCCTGCTCTCAAAAAATTCATTCTCGTGTATATTTTTATTGGCATAGGACCAGCATTCGTGAAAATTTTGCCTCGCTAATAAATACCAAATACCTATCTTGCAAAATTAAGGTGTCGGGAATATTTGGTGATCTACAGTACTATGAGAGATTAAAAAGTTCCAAAGGTGAGAGTAAATAATGTCCTTGATTTATTAAATGAAAAATTGGGATTGAAGCCTTACTTCAATGAGAGGTCAAATGTCAAGTCATTGAGAGTTGCATGTTATCTGCAAGTTTTTGTGAGAGTGAGTAAGGCCTCTTGTTTGGTAAAAACTTTCAGTCAGAGCATCTTGTTTGTTTTTTTTTAAGCAGTGGTCCGGATGGGGAGGGGGGGGGGGGATGACAACAGATTTTACTGATGTATAAATAACTAAGTTAATATTTGTACTACGGTAATATAGATATATACATATACATATATATATATATATATATATATATATATATATAGATAGATATATATATATATATATATATATATATATATATATATATATATATATATATATATATATATATATATATATATATGTATATATATATACGAATAGATGTTTGATGACCAAACTTGGTAGCAACCATGTCAATTTGAATGTCCGTGCTCAAAAAGATGCAAAGCTCAAGCCAATACTTTTATTAAATAAAAAATCAAATCAAATAAAAAGAAGTTTATATATCATGGAAGTGGGATTTTAAAAGCAGCAGTGCATGTAAGATAAATTTTCATGTTCTCTGAGGTTTCTCTTAAAATTATCATCATCTTTGCTTGTTGAATTTTTATTTTCATTTCAACATGTTCAGCATTGGTGAGTTCTTTAACTGGGAGTTTGCCAGTACTTTCTTTCATGGGTCTTTAGTGAGAGTGAATGGTTGAATGTGTTTTGAAATTAAAGATTTTTCAGAGTTTTATGTTTTGAGTGTGTTAAAATAGGATTTATAGGTTTGGTTGTTTTATTACTGTTCATCAGGGAATGGGAAAAATGGATTTAAAGGTCAATATGACTACTAGATTGTGAGTGGGATTGTGCAGAATCTAATTTTCTCAGGTTTGATTTTTTTTTTGTGGGGGATGTGTTTTTCAAGAAAGAGCCAAGATTGTGTCAGTGTGCTTAATTATGTTATTAACTGACTAATGGTGTGTAGAGAAACACTTTAATTAGCTTGATTAGATAACTTACAAGTGTATTGTACTTTGGACACACAGGAGGTGCTTAGTTGAGGCATGTAATAAAACCTAGAAAAACCATACTTTGATTGATTTTGCAAATTCATATTTTATCTGCTATGGTCCAGAGGGGGTGGGGGTGGGTGGGTAAGGAGTGAAATAATCGTAAATATGTTATGCCCAGAAAAAAAGAAATACTTGATTATTTTATTGGTTTAGTAACCAAATTTAAAATCATTAATATTGATATACATGACATTGAAATCTGAAATAAAGTTCGAATCGGTCTGAACTCATGATTTTCTTTGTAAAATATGTATTTGATATTAAATTGACACCTGTGATACATTCATGATTTACCTTGAAGATAAGATCTAAAGTGTTCTAGTTACCTAAAGTTATATCTGCACTTATAGATTTTAGGACAGTTTATCTTACCAGAATGTAGTAGTTTCTATGGTTTCATTGGTGTTAATGCCAAAACCAAATGTATCAACTATGCATCCAAGGGATAGTTGAAAATGCCTTTGTCTTGGAGGTTGTAAAAAAGGACGGTGGTTAAAATCTTTTTAGTGATTAGAAGATTGAAGGCTAAGTAATGGGGATTACCATAATTATTTAGCTTGACGTATACATGTATTTAGTGTGTGTTCATGATGTTAGGAGATCTATGCAACTAATGATGTTATATATAGAGATACATTCACATTCAAATTAAGTAGACGGAAGACCTAAACCCAAAACAAAATTGTTGCAATCAAACTGAATGAGAGATGAATGGACAGACTGAATTTAATGTCTTTTAGCAAAAGCAGGGGACAAAAAATGAAGAATTTAGAACTTTTATATCACTGTATATCAGATAGGGTCCCTTTTGTTGAAATCATTCTGTGTCACTTGCAGAGCATATGGCACACTGGGACCCCTTTTGTCTGTTGGTCTATCAGGGGACACAATTTCACTCACACAACTGCAAGGGATCTAGTAGCCCCTGGATCTTAAGGGGAAATTGTAATTGTATAAAGAGGGAAGAAATATTTTGGAGTAAATTGGCTGGATTAATTGCCATATCAGAACCTAAACTAGAACATTAGCATTCTGACCAAATGGTATAGTATCCATGTCCTGTTATTGCACAATTCTTCATTATAGTATCATTACTTTCTATAATACCATGAATTTCATGAAAGTCAATTGCTTCCACTCAGAGACAAAAATGTGTATGAACAATGAAGAGATTTTTTCCCTTGAAATCCAAGTATGATTTAAAAATCTTCAGAAGGACTTGGAAGAGAGAGTATTTATGGCTCATTTAAAGAAAATCACTGTCTCACTGACCCTTTCACCACTTGTTTAGCTGCTTTACTAGATCCACTGGAACATTCACCATTTAGTATTCATTCCAGTAAGGTGGAACATTCATTTTAACTCAACTTATTACGGTAGTTAATATCTTAATGACATTTGTACTCATTTGATATGCCTCTGTTATCAATCAGACTTTTATTGATTTCCATATCTAATATGGGAGGGAACATCCACTCTGGTTCTCCAGTTTTACCTTATTCTATTTAAGGTTCATAAACCCTCTGCTCACTCATATAAAATGTTTCTTCAACTCTTCTGATTTTCCAAAAGAAATGTATTTGTTAAGTAAAATACAAACAATTAAAGCATTAAGCTTGTGGGGCAAAATTGGACAAAAAAGACACTTCAACTTGACAGATTTATAAAGGAATAATAGATATTTATGTCATTAAGAGTTATCTCTCTTATCAGAGTATCAATGAACCTTAATATCCCTGAACTCTTTATACATATTATGCATATTTATTCTGTAAACTGATAGAAATGTTCTTTGGAATAATGTGGTGATACAATAAGGCAACTTGCTCTTGAAATCAAGGTGTTGTGCATTCCAAAATGTTCTTCATTAATTCCTGTAAGATATTAAACTCGCCAAATATTTATGTTTCTAAACATTTTCTGATTTTGATGTTTTCTAATCCAATGAAATTTTGTTGAGCCATTGATGACCAGCTGAGGCAAGTTTGAGCTATATACTTGAACTTCATGGGAGTGAAACACCGGAGAGAAGTAAGGTTATTAGGTTCATATTGTGAACTTACATGTAAATGGATTTGCTGTGACTATACTCAAGAATTGTAGTGCCAAATGATATTTTACCACCATTTTTACCAATACAAAAATCAGAATCTCGGCATAAATGAAGATCATTGTGGAACAGATGATTTTCAGATAAACTAAATTTATCTTAATATCTCATGGGAATATTCTCTGTTTAAGTTACTCCATATAGCTTTATGGTTTCAGAACTTTATTATTTGTTTAGTGGACATCACATTGAGTGTAGATTACCAGGGAATCAGAACATTCAAATAATGAAGACCATATATAGTAAATGTATTTCTAACTGATTCTACTAAGCAGTAGTTATAATCTTCAAACATATAAGTAACCAGGAATAGTGAGAAATCAAGTATTTTAACTACAGTCCTCAAACATAGCAGTACCTATTGGTGTATAAAGAGAAATCCACCTTTTATTGTGTTTTGATTTATTGCATTCTGAATTATGAATTGGTTACCCAGACGGAGTTATTGACCTAGTTGATATTTACTTGGTGAAGTTCTGAAAGCTATGATTTGTAAAAGAAAGTGGTAATTAAAATATGACTGTCTGATTTGTGAAGCAGGTACCTGGCAGGTACATTTGATTCATGTGTGTGCACTACATGTAAGGTATTGATTTGGAATATTCAGTAGGAAACCGAAGTTATTGCAAACAATGTAAAATGTTTACAAATACAATGTAGATGTTTGTTATCTGACAGAAAGGGGGACATAGATAACTTTACTGAAAAGACTTTTAATAGTACACTCTTTATATTGGGAGACCTCAGTGGTCGTGTGCTCATGCATTATACATGAAGTAAAACTCCTCATTTGATGAACACAGAAACCTAGTTCATGTAGTGGCTGGAATTCTTAAATGATTCATGCCAATTAAATTACCATAATGAAGTTTGGATCTTAGGTGTAGAGTTCATGTCTTAACCACCATTATATTAAGCTTTCTTGAGACTATGAGTGGATTTGTGATTGTGAGGGGTGCGGAAACTGATGCAGCCATTCAATGCAGGCTGTATAGTCCCTGAGTGCTCACAGATGTATAGATTTTATTGTGACAGTAGGATTAGTAGATTTATGTAGGACCCATTATTATATGACACATTGAGTATGTCAAAGTCAATTCACTGTCGTGAGTATGGATGATTATACAGCCTCACCATTTTTTTTTTTTTGAAAACTGATTATTGTAGCAGCAACAGTTTGTAGAATTGCAGACTCTGTATATAGACTTAGCTGAGGGGCATAGATTCTGGGATTGTCAGGAAAAAATGGAGCTTTGATATTGTTACTGGAGAGAGAGAGAGATAATGAGGCTGCATGATATGTATATCAATTTCTCCTGTATGATAATGATGAAATGACCATTATCTATGGAAATAAAAGTGATGAGTTTGTCTCCATTGCTATACATGCTATAGGTTGTGGATCTTGTTCAGGTCATGGGTTCATGTCCTTTAATGATGTTTTTCATTAATGGTTAGGATAAGCTTGTGATGTGTGTGTTGGACCAAACAGAGTGAAATAATATGGCGTTGTTCAAAGGGATTAAGAATTTACCCCGGAAACATTCTGTAGAGAAAATGGATTTACCCAAACGCAGAACTCGCTCAGATGGTAAGAACAGTTCAAATTGTTTCAGGTCTGCAAATTGTAATGCCAATTCAAGCTTTTATATATTATCCATTTGATTATCCCTATGTATTGAATGTTGCATTACCACAGCTTATGTTTGTCATCTATCTTAAAACTGTATATAATCAAATAAAAAACTGAATATGACTTTGAACTGTACCATTGTAAAATTATGTTCATGTACAACTTGTACTTGAATGTACGTTTTATATAATTATATGTGAATCTTTGGAGTCAGTTTTTTTTTTTTTTGGTGCTTATTGCACTACTCAGCATAGCTACTTTGGGTGTGGGTATTTTGTATGGATAACCAATCTACCTTAGAAACATAATATTAGTATCTCTCATAACCTTATTCCATTGGGTCAAGAAATATTTCATCAATGCTATGTTGGGTTTCTTTTTTTTCACCATTTAACTCCATTTAAAAAATAAATCCATGCCAGAGTTCAGACGATTTTCATCTTTTAAACTTCCAATAATGTTTACGTTTAATTTCCCTCAAATCAAACATCATTCTATATATTATGAGGCAATACACTTTCCCAAGGTCAACAAACCTACAGTAAGAGTACTCAAATTGGATTTATCAAATTAAATAAAATGCTTTGTGGAGTATGTTGAATGATAAATGTGAATTCATAGCAAGTATATATTTCTCTGTACACACTTTCACTTTCCTAAAATACTAGATTGCTGCATGAAAGTTTTTCTCCTGTGTTATATTTGTTCTCTATCTAAACGATATCTCTTTATAATAACCTGTTTTATAATACCTCTACTAAATTTCCACTTCGATATACTGTATAAGCAGAATTTTTAGCAAGGATTTAATTTTGACATTATTAGCGAGGGTGTTGAGATCGCTAAAATTGAATTTCGCCAAAAATAAATCAGCGTTTTATTTGTAATAGCTTCCTTAGTAGGCACTTTAAAATTGCTAAAATTGATTCTCGCTAAAAATTAATTACCATTAATTAAAGATAAATAGCTAAGTTTGCGTCTCGCTAAAATTTCCACTTGTACGGTATTTAATTTGCTGATTCCCTGAAAATCTCTTTAAAAAGACTGATTCCCTGCAGAAAGGTGCATCAGTTTGATGAACTGATACACACCTACTCGGAACACCTAGCAATTTCTTTTAATCTTACGAAAAGTTCCCATCAGGAAATAGGCTTGCTCTTGGGGAACTGGAATCTTGCTGCGGTCTTCTTCATTGATATGCTTTAACCATGTTAACTGTATAATTAAAACTTAGGAATGATAAAGAGTATATATGTACATATGATGATTCTAGTAATTTATTGTAATTTATTAGAGTAAATCTTTGATATTTTGACAATGACAAGACTTGGAAATTGTTGAAATAACATGGATCCAATGTTCAGAGACTTGGGGATTGATATTTCATTGCTTTGTCAATTACATGTACATGTGTATGTTGAATTCAATAACCATGCACTGTATTATCACTCCATTTTCTGCAGTGTGTTTTTATTTTCAATTACAAAATAATAAAAAGATAAAAAATAAATAAATAAAAACTAATAAAACATGTTCACTTGTGTACTTTGTTCTGAGCTTTCTAAATTTCAAACAGCTAATCACATTTAGAATTTGCTTCCTAGCTTTAAAAAATATTAAAAATGTCAAACCATTCTAATTTCATTCATACTTTCTTCATGGATGCATGTTAGAATAGAGGAAACAGTTCAAGATACTCGAAAGTCAGTTATCAAAGATTTAAGTCATTTATATATAGTTAAACTTGAGTATCCAAATACCATAGATATGTCCCAAGTTAGTTGCAAGTCCAGTTACCACCTCAGTCTTCGCCAAATCTTTTTCTCAGCACATGCCCTTCGGGTAGGTGTATCCACTAATTACACTAGCCCGAATAAATATTTACATGCCCAGAATTTTATCAAGTAATTTTATTCTAATTTGCTTTTTGCCAAAATAATGATATGAAATTCATTTTTTTTTGCGATCTATTGTAAAGCCATTACCGGTAATTGTTTTCAATGAATACACTTTTTGTGTCTCCAATGCAAAGAGTTTGTTGGAAATCGCGGTAGAATAAACTGTTGTTAAACTTTTATTTTCAATGTAAATAAAACAATTTTTAAGTATATTTAATGTTCTTGGTGTAATTTATGAATGAAAATGAAACATCTGATGAATAAATCATCACACGAATCAAAATAGGAAGTACATCGTTATAAACAATATGGAGGGTTAAGCTTCCAAATTTACATGCCCTTCGGGCTTGTAAGTGTGCAATTTCCACATGCCCACTTCCAACTTTACCAGGTCTCGGTCATCGGACTCCCAGGATTTGTCGAAGACTGCCACTTTTCCTTTTTGTATTTAAACTTGGATATGTCAAATTCTCTGATATATATCTTATTTCTTAGTCCCACTGACTCTGAGTATGAAATAGTGAGGTTTGACTGTACATGTATATATGTGACTTGGCTGTTGGTGTTAACATAGTGAAGAAGGTATTCCTGGGTTTGCCCTACCTTATTTTAACCTTGATTATCAATAGAAAATCACCTTATGCAGTACAATCCTTATAATCTTTTATCTGGGATGGTGTTGTGTATTAATTGCTGTCTGCTAGATGGAGAAATTGGTTTCGTTCCACTGAATTCCATTACATTAATGATGCGATTAATTTTAAAATGTTCTCATGGTTACTGAGAACTCAGATTAATTAATCAAATGTCTAGAAGAACGATATGGATGCTTGAAGATCAGACTAACGTCATGAACACTGATATTCTAGTTTACAAAGTTGATTACCATTAGGGCAATGGATACAGCGTTTTCTCTAGTGTAGCGGAGTAAGGAATTGATCCTTATTTGTTGGGTTTGAATCCACTGTGTGATGCAGAGATGGGTTGTTTGGATGAGACAGTATAGACCGAGGTCCTGTGTCACAGTAGGTGCTGTCACAAAAAAGATCCAACATTGCTCAAAGGCTGTAAGTTCCAAGAACAGGTATAAATTTGCAGCCCTCCACCAGCAAGTGATGGCAACTTAATGAGTAAAAAATTCCTGAAGGGATGTTAAATAAACAAACAAACCATTATCTCATTCAGTGTGCATGTTCTTGGACATTTTATTGTAAAAGTCATGTTCTTTGTTGTAAAAGTGATATAGCCTGTTCAATATTTTCTTAAACATGTAGAAGATCTGCATAAAATAAAAAGACACTCCAATTTATTCAAGCACTTGCAAAACAGTTTTTTTTTTCATTAAGAGTGATCTGTCTTCAAGACTTGTTTCATGACAGAGGAATTATTCTACATAAAGACACAATGCAATAAATAGTTTGCAGCAAAAAATATTTGTATATATTAGAAGGTCACTTAATCTTGCAGATATTTCTCACTTGTGAATAAAGTTGGTTTACAGATTGTTCTGTTTTTATGCATATTGATAAGTGTCTTTCCAAGTATCCATGGAAAATAAAAATGCAGGCAGGGTTATGACAGGTGTAAATTAATTCTTCTCGGTGAATACAATATCATAACTTTTTGGCCCAAATGAAGCACTTGACTTTTTACTCTCTTAACCTTTGTTAAGACTGTATGAATATAATTGAGAGGAATCCTTCACCTTGTAGCTCGTATAAAGACCCATTGTATAACCTTCTGCTTCTTAATATTGTCCGACTTCGGAATGGTGATGGATGCTTGATCATCTTAGGTCTTGTTGCTTTGTAAATTAATTTTTTTAAAAAAGTACCTAGTATTTTTGCTTTTGGATTTTTTTTTCCAGAATGCAAGGATTATAAAATTACATATGGTAGAATTACATAATGTATATATTAAATCATAGATGATCTGTCTATTATTCTTTATGTCTTATTTTGAACATTAACTCAATTTTCAAAGTCTCCTCTACCTTTGATTTTGTCATTGTATGAACTTTTCTTTATTTTTTCTTTATTTATATTTTTTTGATAAACATGAATTATTTTGTTTTCTTAATGAATACTTACCTTCTGTGGACATTTCAGGACAAGATACAGAGCATGGTGACCATGCCCTCAATATGCACCCATCTGTTTCCTCACCCACATTTGCCTTTGGGCAGAACAGGGCCAATGTAAGTAAGCATGTGTGTGGTGTAAATGTTAAAATTGACTTGTAGTAAAGTAGATACTTAACTGAAATACAGAACTTTGTGACATATCTAGTTGGCATGCAAACACTTTTAACACGTAACACATACTGATTTGTATAGTTTGTTTGGATATTGTCTTTCCAATTGGGCCTGTTTGGTTATTTGATGCTAGAGGGCATACCCCCCCCCCCCCCCCCATTTGATGGGTTGATGTGTTCCCTTGCTTGTTTGATTTGCAACCAGTCACTAAAATTATCTCAAGGAAGTCATAGTTTTAGATTTCTGTGCATGTATAAAAAAGTTATAAGTTACGATGTGAAAGTTCATGGTACAACATGCATGTTTCCATGTATGGTTTTGTGTGTGATCAAAAATAGTAATTTATCTCATGTTTATATACACGTATACATGTATAAACATTTTTAGATCCATTGATACATCCTCTATAATAAAAGCAATTAAGACAAAATTTCACTTAGTTTGAGAGGTCATCATAGGGATGTGGAATATTCAGTCGGGGCCTGGCCTTTGTTGAAATATATGTACGTATATAGATGGGTTTTTGATAAAACAGCGAGTATACAGGATTCAGGAAGACGGTTTACATCCTGAGAAGAAGGCAAAGGAGGGAAGTGATTAAATATTAATCCAGATACAAAAGAAAACAGTTCTGGGAGATCAGAACAATAAACTGTATGGATTAATACCAAAGATGTTGAAGAAGACAGTTAATCTGTCCCAGAGCCTCAAAAACCTAACAGCAAAGGTTGGTATAGTTCTGTTGATAGAGGGACAAAGACTTAGTAAGAGATGATGTTGGCTTGATTTAATTTGAAGGTGATTACTTAGATATTCAAAATAATTGTGATATCTTGGTTGGTGATTGTTGATCAATGTTTCCATATGATGGATGAATTGCTGAAGAGTCTAGGTTTAAAATTGGGTGTACAATTATATACATGTAATCTGTATATATATATATTTAAAAAGAAACTGTTTGATATGTCTGTCTGTATGTCTATAAAGGACATGTTTCATTTAGTGAAAAAAAGGACAAGTATCCCCTTGAAGCTCATTTCTCTATTTTATACCCAGCTTAGTTAAGAGTCATCTGTCAGGGTCATTTTGTAGTTTGTCAGTCGTGTCATTGGTTTTTGATTTTCTTATATGCTAATGTATTAAACTGGTAAATGATAATACATCTAAAATCAGTTTTTCAAGTAATTTTTTTTTCTCACTCAATTAAGTAATTCTCAACTGAAACACATTAGTTTTTAGCTCTACTGGTCAGAGACCAGAAGAGCTTATGTGATAGTAAAGTGTCCGTCGTCCATCCATCTAGATGTTTGTCCGTCTGTAAACAATTTTTCAAAACGCTACTCCTTCTACAGTTTTGGTCAGATTTCAATATAACTTGGCACACCAGTAGACTACACTAAGATACATAATTCTGTATATCGGTTTTTGATTTCAATGAACGGTGTTGCAATGGTTACTAAAAATAGAGATTCCTGGGAAATACTTTCAGAACACTACTCGTCCTACAGTTTTTGGTCTGATATCTGTATAACTTGGCACACAAGTAGAGTATACTAAGATACATAATTCTGTGTATTGTTTTTTGATTTTAATAAATGGTGTTGCCATGGTTATTTAAAATAGAAATTTCTGTGAAAAACTTTCAAAACGCTACTTCTCCTACAGTTTTGGTCTGATTTTAGTATAACTTGGAACACAAGTAGACTACACTAAGATACATAATTCTCTTCACCAGAAAGTGCTACTTAAAATTATCTTCCTTTATAAGTACAACCAGTAGAGCTACAGTCTTGTCAGAGACTTTTGGTTGTTGGGTATGTATTGTTGAGAAAATTTGGAGAAATGAATTACTAGTCTTTTACAACCAAGAGTGGTTATTTGTATGTTGGTTTTTTTAGTTACTTGACAGAATTTTACCTGGATTTAATAATCAAACTTGAGCCATTAATGAGTTTAAAGAAAAGTTATTAGTTATAATCATGTTATGTAGTATGTGTATGTAAAATAAACCTTTGTCACACTGAGGACAAAGGAAGGAAGCAGGACTCGGGTCATTGTATAAGGAAATTTATGACTGGTATATAAAATATAAAAATAAAAGTATGAAATTTCAGCTGGCTTTTACAATTTCCTTGTTATGAAGTGATATTCTATATTTTCAATTGGTTGTTGCTTAAAAATATGCTTTTTTTCTGTGGAAAGAGTATTGTAAAATTTGTAATGCCTTCTAAGGTAAGAAACTGTGTGTTTTGTCAGAGGACAAAAGGATGTCCTGTTTTCCTGTGCAGTTGTTTGTAAGATTATTATCATTTTTATTGATCTTGCTAATGGACAGTTAAGATATGATGTATTTCTGATGACATTCAGATCTTATTTTGGTATGAATCTTTAATAATGGTCAATAGAAGCTCTAGGAAATTTCCTATAATATTGTAAATAATAAAGAATATACAGTTGAACTTCGGTATCTCGAACATGGATATTTCGAATACCATGGATATGTTGAAGTGATTCTGAAGTCTCAGCCCCTTATTCCTGAGGTATTTTACCTATCTCGAATCCCTGGATATCTTGAAGTTTTTTTCTGTCCCATGGAGTTCGAGATAACGAGGTTTGACTGTAATTAAATCAGAGAGGTTTTAAATTCTGCAACATCAATTTGTGCATATACATGTAATGTATTGAGTATTTAAAAGTTTGTGTTTTTTTTTTTTTTGGATGAAACCAGAGAAAAAAGTCCTTTAAAAAAAATCAGTCGAAAAATTATTTTATTGTTTTTTAGCTCACCTCGACGAAGTCGAGATGAGCTTATGCTATACCCCCGGCGTCGGCGTCGGTGTCGGCGTCGGCGTCGGCGTTAGCGTCGGCGTCCCAGGTTAAAGTTTTAGGAGCAAGTCCCATTCCCAAGTAACTATAAGCCCTACCTGGACCAAACTTGCATGGATGATGCATCTAGGGATGGACACTACCAAACTTGCTTCGGATGCTGGATCTGACCTAGATTTTTCAGATGAGTGACCAGGTTAAAGTTTTAGGAGCAGGTCCATTCCCAAGTAACTATAAGCCCTACCTGGATCAAACTTGCATGGATGATGCATCTAGGGATGGACACTACCACACTTGCTTCGGATGCTGGATCTGACCTAGATTTCCGGATGAGTGACCAGGTTAAAGTTTTAGGAGCAGGTCCCATTCCCAAGTAACTATAAGCCCTACCTGGATCAAACTTGCATGGATGATGCATCTAGGGATGGACACTACCACACTTGCTTCGGATGCTGGATCTGACCTAGATTTTCTGGATGAGTGACCAGGTTAAAGTTTTAGGAGCAGGTCCCATTCCCAAGTAACTATAAGCCCTACCTTGTCCAAACTTGCATGGATGATGCATCTAGGGATGGACACTACCACACTTGCTTCGGATGCTGGATCTGACCTAGATTTTCCAGATGAGTGACCAGGTTAAAGTTTTAGGAGCAGGTCCCATTCCCAAGTAACTATAAGCCCTACCTGGACCAAACTTGCATGGATGATGCATCTAGGGATGGACACTACCACACTTGCTTCGGATGCTGGATCTGACCTAGATTTTCTGGATGAGTGACCAGGTTAAAGTTTTAGGAGCAGGTCCCATTCCCAAGTAACTATAAGCCCTACCTTGTCCAAACTTGCATGGATGATGCATCTAGGGATGGACACTACCACACTTGCTACGGATGCTGGATCTGACCTAGATTTTCTGGATGAGTGACCAGATTAAATTTTTAGGAGCAGGTCCATTCCCAAGTAACTATAAGCCCTACCTTGACAAAACTTGCATGGATGATGCATCTAGGGATGGACATGGCCACACTTCCTTCGGATGCTGGATCTGACCTAGATTTTCTGGATGAGTGACCAGGTTAAAGTTTTAGGAGCAGGTCCATTCCCAAGTAACTATAAGCCTACCTGGACCAAACTTGCATGGATGATGCATCTAGGGATGGACACTACCACACTTGCTTCGGATGCTGGGTCTGACCTAGATTTTCCAGATGAGTGACCAGGTTTAGATTTAGGAGTAGTCTCGTTCCCAAGTAACTATAAGCCCTACCTGGACCAAACTTTCATGGATGATGCATCTAGGGATGTACACTAACCAACCTGCTTTGAATGCTGGATCTGACCTAGATTTTCCACATGAGTGAATTTTAGCCATATTTTAACCAAATTAGCATGGATGATGTATCTAGGGATGGACACTTCCAGACTTGTCTTGGATTCTGAATCTGACGTACATTTTCCAGATGAATGACCAGGGTAATTTTTTTGGAGTAGCTATATAATATTATGGCCTGTTATCATGTGGTTATGATTAGACTTGCATAGATGGTGCATCTAAGGATGAAAACTTCCAGACTTGCTTTGGATGTTGGAACTGACCAAAATTTTCTTGATTACTAAACAGGTCAAAAGTTTTTTGAGCAGGTCTATAATTAAATCAAACTTGCATGGATATTGATCTTGGGATGTACCCTAACTAGAAAAAAAATATGATGTGAAATTTGCCTTACATGTAGATAACATTCGTCGAGGTGAGCTTCGTAATCTTTGATTACCTATGTTTTTTTCTGTAATTAACTTGATTGTGTCATTTTTTCCCCATGACTGGATGCATTGCTAGTGTCAGCAGAAGTAACTGAAACACATAATTAGACAACTTTTATTGATCTAGTGGCTTTCCTTGGCTAGTCCAGGCAATCAAGACATATTTTATGAAGCACACACAAACAAAAATACAATACACACAGATATAAACGCTGGGATGGGATGTACCAATTCACCCAACAAAAACAACACTCATGGGCAATCCACCTATTGCATTAACTGGCCACGGTCATTTGGGCAGTCATGAAGATGGAGAGTAGTTTGGACATGGAAGTTTTGTGCATTAGACTGGGGAAAACTTTACTGCTGTGTTGTAATGTGACAATTATTGCCCTATAGATAAATGGTCAAGATAAACAATTAGATTTATTGTTTGTGTATACATGGATAGTTAATGGAAGTAAGCGTGGTGATCAAGAAGGGACTTGATGTCTTCTTTTGGTGATGAAGGTAATATATATATAGGAGGTGTAGCTTATTATTAATGTTCATTCAAAAGGTCTTCTGGGCATTTCTGTAAGTGATCATGAATAAATTTCAGAAAGTGGTCTTTATTGTATATGTTATGTATATAATTTTCATGTACATGTATGTACATATTTGTATTGATTACAAAGTCAATATGTATTGACCTTCACCTGTGTAATAGCTACATATAGATCAGTATATAGTGTTTTTGCATGCAAACACACAAACACACACATACACAAAACTTAATGATGCTATTAAGCAGAGGTAATGGGATTGGCCCTCACTCCAGCACTGGATGCAGTTTGATTTGGTCTACTTCACTAGATATCATTTTGACTATTGATTGATCAATCCAGACTATATATGTAGCTCAGTAGCTCTGTGCCACGAAGTAGAAATGATTCATTTGTGTATTGATACGATATTATAGACTGTTGCTTTTAAGGATTGCCTTTAAAACAAATGTGCGTAAAATTTATTCATTTTCTTTATAGATATGTTAGTAGAAATATTTTTAAAAAATGTTAAAAAGTCAGTAACTTTTGTATGATTAGTATAGGAAAGGCTGCATATTGAAATGGATTGAAGTTTTTAAAAAAAATTGTAAATGTTACTGATTTAAAAAATTACGTATATATTTTGTATATGTTAGACTGTTTTTCAGTCTGAGTCCAAGCTCTTTTCCCCAACTGGGACCCCAGACAAAAATAGTGCCAAGCTGTCCAAGAGGGAGTCATTAAAGGTAAGAAAAAAAAATCCATTTAAATCAACAAATTCAAGATTATACTTGTACTCAAGGAGATTTAATTTTACCAAATATACTGCCTGGAACCTTGATGTAAAATGGATTCCTCTATGGATTCTTCTATGCAGGTTCAGAAGAAGAACTATCGAAGTCAAAAGAAGCAGGCGGCCAAAGAGCTGCAGAGCACGTTGACTGATTCCTCCGTAGTGGTGCTGGCAGACTGGCTCAAGGTTAGAGGCACGCTCAAAAGTTGGACCAAGTTGTGGTGCGTGCTGAAGCCTGGACTACTGGTGCTGTACAAAAGTGAAAAACAAAAGGTAACACACAAGTTTCATTGAGAACAAGATAGAATATCAATAGATTGAATATATAAATTTGGAGATTAGTTCAAACATCAGTCTTTAAAAAGGACAGGATTTAATGTTAGATATGATAAGAAAGGGCTTGGAAAAAGACTAATCCTAGCTTTATTTGAAAGACAGTGTTTTGTTTCAAGTGCCATTGATTTCTTTTAATGAACTTGTATTTATAGTCTTCAGTTCTTTGAAATCATTAATGATGTTCACAAGTATACCCTGCTGAATTAAACATTCTGGATTCAGTTTATCTATATTAAAAAATTCATTGCCAAATATTTGTTTAAAGAGTGTCGTGTGCATGCATGTGTCGTGTGCATGCATGTGATGTTTATTTAAGCAAAAAGAATAAGATTACACTTGTGAAAAATAAACAGTTATTTTATTCTCAAGGCTAGTAGACCCATGATAAATGCAGTCTTTTGTATCTGTGAAATGAAGTGAAAACAGCATTATTTCCCTTTCATATTATTTTGCATATTTGACTTGTCTTAATGGAGGATTCTTCGATTTTCAGAGCAGTCATTGGGTTGGCACTGTTTTATTAAACACATGCAGAATTATTGAGAGACCGTCCAAAAAAGATGGCTTTTGCTTCAAATTATTCCATCCACTGGACCAGTCCATATGGGCTACCAAGGTTTGATATTGATTTCAATAAAGAATTTTACAGCCCCCCCCCCCCCCCCCCCTACAAACGAGAAATCACCTAGTCCATCTGTCTGTTTAGCTGTCTGTGTCCATGCAGTTTTTTCGGGACCATAATGGTTTTAATGGAGAAACATTGGAAGCTCATACTTAATACAAAGATTGCTTATGACCTAAGGGTGTGATACCTAAGGGTGTGATTTGACCTAAATTCAATGTCATTTGGGCAATTCCAAGGTGAATGACAGAAAAAGTGCATAATTTGTGTTTGGTGCATAACTTTCTAAATAAATGATAATCATTGGCAGTTCATATTTCACACAAAGAATACTTATGAGCTGAGAATGTGTCATGACCTTGATGCAAAGTTTACTGAACAAGTTCAAGGTAACTGGAAGAAAGTATACTTTCTCTCCTGGCCATATCTTGTATGCATGGAAAAACATTTGTGTGCTGTGGCCTTTACTCAAAGTCATTTGGGTAAGTTCAAGATTAGAAAAAGTGTAAAATTTTTGTCTGCTTAATAACCTCATGAGAAACATTGGATGTTTGGGTTGCTTATGACCTTGGTTGTATCTTGATCTTGACGCAAGGTGATTTGAAGAAGTTCAAGGTCACTAACAGAAAAAAATATATTATTCCTTCCTTAGCTATATCTGCATAAAAGACAACCCCGAAAAATCCATAGTGGGTAAAATATGGCTAATGATCTCAATGTGCAGTGTATTGACTGTGACCAAACATCATGAACATGATGGAGGCAAGGTCATGTCACTAAAGTTTTATCCAGTCCTTATCTCTGGAAAGTAGGAACTTTGGAAACTCATAGTTGACATAAAAGAAAGCCTGTGGCCTGAATGTGTATTGTCCAGGGTTATCATCTTATGAGCTCACTCACAGTACCTCTAGTTTAGATTTAGAGAACATGCATCTCTATTGTTCATTTAGATGAAAGGAGAGTTCAAAAGATATTTTATTTAGATAAAGCATGCAGTTTCTTAAATGACAGATAAAACTGTACAGCAGTTAAAAATCAAGGTCAGAAAAAATTGCAATATGCTCGATTTGTAGCAAATACCAGTAGCAGTATTTTTTTTTTCAATTTATTCTAATCAAATGTTTAATAAGATTTATTCACTGAATGTTGAATTCTCAGAACTTTTATTTCTGTGAATATATCAAAAATTAACTCTGCGACTTAATTTCCTGCTATACACAGATACAGTAATTGAGATATTGATATTTACAACAGTACATGTATTTCAGACCTGAAACTAAATGATCAGAATAGTTTATTTTTATATCTGATAGAATTTCCAAATGTACATCATTTGACTATAGATCAGTGTAAACAATTATAAGTACATGTACAATACTGATTTTCATATTTTTTTGTTGCAGGGACCAAAAGGAGAGACAATCGGGGCCATTGTACAACCCCTGCCGTATTCCTATCTTATTTTTAGGGCTATGTCAGAATCAGCAGGTATACTTTCAGTACACACCCATTGATTTATCTTGAAACACGTGTTTCAGCTGATATTGTATGGTCTAATATTAGTAACTAGTGAAATATTACTGGTCTTTCCTCTCTGCACAAACCCCTTGACAACCATGCTATAAATAGTCTGAACACATGATCTTAACTCATATACACAGTTTGTATCATTGATAAAAATAAAGTTGAAGCATTTAAAAAATATTCAAAAAAGCAGATATTTGTTTGAGTTGTGAAATCTATGTAGATATCACATTACATTATCTGCACATGAGCTTGAAGGTGGATGACATCACCACTATTTACAGAATGGCATGCTATCACACTGATAATTGTGTACATGAGCTAGTCATTGCCTAGTCTGTAAATGAAAATTCCTAATGGAGATATCAACATTGACTATAGCTCTGCAATACACTTGCTCATTGGTCGAGTGATATAAACTCCTGTGACCAATCATACCTTGAGAAAAAAGTCCCAAATTTTTACAGTACAATAGGCCTTGGGTTTGTTAGGAGTGTAACAGGTCAGAAACACGTTGCTAGCAAAGCTGCCAGTTGCTTATTTCATGGCATACTGGTATTCTTTTAAGTATCATTTTTTGGACAACAGGTGCCAAATAAATTATGCTTTGAACTGTTTTTAGCTCACCTGAGCTGAAAGCTCAAGTGAGCTCTTCTGATCACCCGTTGTCCGTCAGTCTTAAACTTTTCACATTTTCAACTTCTTCTCAAGAACCACTGGGCCAATTTTAACCAAAGTTGGTACAAAGTATCCTTGGGTAAATTTTTAAAATGAAGGGCCAAGCCCCCTTACAAGGGGAGATAATCAAGAAAAGGCAAAAATATGGTGGGGTCATTAAAAAATCTTCTTCTCAAGAACCACTGGGCCTGAAAAGCTGAAACTCATGTGGAAACATGCTGGGGTAGTGTAGATTCAAAATTGTCAAAATCATGACCCCGGGGGTAGGGTGGGGCCACAATAGGGAATCCAAGTTTTACATTGAAATATATAGAACAAATATTTAAAAATCTTCTTCTCAAGAAGCACTGGGCCAGTAAAGCTGCAACTTATATGGAAGAATCTTGGGGTAGTGTAGATTCAAAATTGTTAAAATCACGACTCCCGGGACTAGGGCTGGGCCACAATAGGGAATCTAAGTTTCACATTGAAATATATAGAAAAAAATCTTTAAAAATCTCCTTCTCAAGAACCACTGGGCCAGAATAGCTGAAACTTATGTGGAAGCATCCTGGGGTAGTGTGTATTCCAAATTGTTAAAATCATGATCCCTGGGGGTAGGGCAGGGCCACAATAGGGAATCTAATTTTTACATTGAAATATATACGAAAAATCCTTAAAGATCTCCTTTTCAAGAACCACTGGGCCAGATAAGCTGAAATTTATGTGGAAGCATCCTGGAGTAGTGAAGATTACAAATTATTAAAATCTTGACCCCTGGGGGTAGGACGGGGCCACAATAAGGAATCTAATTTTTACATTGAAATATATACGAAAAATTCTTAAAGATCTCCTTTTTAAGAACCACTGGGCCAGATATGCTGTAATTTATTTGGAAGCATCCTGGAGTAGTGAAGATTACAAATTATTAAAATCATGACCCCTGGGGGTAGGGTTGGACCACAATAGGTATTACACTGGGGAAAGTCTGGTGTAGAACAGCAGGGCCAAAGTTACTCAGGTGAGTGTTGTGGCCCATGGGCCTCTTGTTTTAGATTCTGCAGTTTTTAGTAGTATTTAAATTTTTTGCAAATAGAATCTCCCTTCAGTTTCTTTTTCTGATCAATGATAATTTTATTGAGGATCAAAATAGTAAAAGATATTTTGGATCACCCTGTATTCAAATAAATACATTGCCCTTACAGGTATTTACTAAAACATGTTGATCACTTTCACAGGGAAGTGCTGGATGGATGCACTTGACCTTGCTCTTCGCTGCACAAGTCTGTTAGTACGGTCCATGAAGAAAGATGCAGAGTCCACACATTCAGCTGCTGGCCTCTCCCAAGAGGCCATGTTGACCCCTCCATTTCCAGCAGACCACAGTGAACAGTTGAATGAGAGTGATTGTGAAAAACATTTTGAAGGACAGGGTAAGTGTTGAGTGTTGCAGCAAATTACATGAAGTACATACATTGCTAATATGAAAATTAGTCCACTATGACTTGCATGGGTGAACTGTTGTCCTACAGGCTTATGTCTTCACTTTGAGTTTGGGGTTTCTGATCTGATTTATTTCTGAAGAATATATGCATATTTTTGCCCCATTAAAAGTCATATTTTGAAAATATCTTGAAATGTACTGAATTGTATATATTATATGAAAAATCTGAATTAACAAAATAAAATTTAAAAAAAAATATAGTTTCGAAGTAGGTTATTTGCAATTTTTGCGTCTATGACATCACAAACTTAATTTTGATTTTGCAGTATTTTTCAGAAAAGAGGCCAAATTGGACAAAATTTGTTCAATTCTTACTATATAATTTATAGAGCGCAAACCTGCTCCATAACAGTATTCACATATTTCATTGATATTATCATTCTTTCCATATCAAAATATTGAGTTGGAGCAGACCTGCCCTCTGTGACTTTTACTCAAAATATCAATGTAATATACACCATTTCCTCTATAAATCATGGAAATTTTAAATTTACATCACGGCCAATAAAAATATTTAATGCTTTGAAGTCTGCAGATATCCCCCTGGTTTAGAGCATAATTATAGATTACTCCGTCAAAGTTTGATTTTGGGGGCAAATATTGGTCATTACCGAACATAATCAACTCGTATTATGAACTTACTCAAATACATTAACTGATTGACTTACTCAAGTTTGATTTCCTATAAAGTGTTATTTCTGTGTTTTGAATTCTTTGCTTCCTGTCATTCCTTTAATTTTCTAAAACATGTTTCATATTGATACTATCAGAATGGAGAAGAGTTTAATGGAAAAATACATGTAATTCCATGTAGCATTGAAAATTTGATCAAGTCTATTGAAATGTCAAACCTACTGCTATGATTGACAGGTGTGAATGTTACTATTGTGATTGACAGGTCTGTATATATTACTGTTATGATTGACAGGTCTGGACGAGGATAGTAAAACAGATAGAGAGGAGATGAAGACAGATACTGAGACAGAATCAGATGAAGACGATGTCAAAGTGTTTGAGGACAATGTACCTCCAGTGGAGACCAAGTATGTTGAGAACGCAAAGGAAGAACTCGGACAGGTGATTGGCTCTATAGCTAGCTTGGGAGAGTTATCTCCCTTCTCCCACAAATGTGAATGTTATCTAGATGCTGGGGTGTATATTATATTTTGTTTTATGTCGTGTAGACAGTTGTCTTTGTACCACATATATCAATAATGATGTGAAATGTAGAAAATAAGTTATAATGGAGATTGAGTTAGCTTTAAAATTAATTGTAAACTTCTCAAGAGAAACTGTTAAAAAATCTCAAGGATTGCCTTTGACATTGGAAATTGTGTACTTTATTGAAATAATGTTGGCTTACTTCTTTAATATTTTATATGTACAGCAAGGTGATTCATGTCAAACAGAGGAAGTTGATGATGAAAACAAAAGTTTGATATGGACACTTGTCAAGCAGGTAAACTATCAAGTTACATGTATATGTCTAAATGTTCAGAAATATTAAGTAAGTTTTGACCATATTCAAACCAGCAATAGTCGGAAGTAGAAAATAATAAACTTAATTAAGATGTGCTTTATTTGTTAAAAAGAAAAAATAACCTCAAATTATGAAATATGATTTCGAGCATTGAAATTATCTAATCATTTACATGTACGTAAGAAAGTGTATTGGTTGGTTTCTATTGGCAGGTACGACCAGGAATGGATTTATCTAAGGTGGTACTCCCTACTTTTATATTGGAGCCTCGGTCATTCCTGGATAAACTCACTGATTATTACTACCACTCCGACATTTTATCTGAGTAAGTTTATCTGTAAAAATATGAAAACATAATTAAAAACTGGTAATTATTGTAATGTTTATTTCAAAATGGCACTTATTTCTTTTGCCTAAATGCAAAATAAGTTAGTGTATTTATATGTTGTGGGAACATTAATATTTTATTGTTTGAGGAGCCACCTTCATGTATTTGTTTGACAAAAAAGCAAAATAATGAGTATATCTTGTTGGCGTATTCATATATCTAACATTATCTTTATATTTCCTTGAAAGAGCTGTGTTGTTAGATGATCCATATGCCAGACTAAAGGCTGTGGTCAGATGGTATCTCTCAGGATTTTACAAAAAACCAAAGGTAAAAGTAATGATTATTTCTATATAATATAGATATAAAATTGAACTTGGGTGCCCTGAACATTGATACATTAAAAACTTTGAATATGGTCAAAGTGATTTGGAATCACAACCACATATTATTTATTTTACCCTTGATATCTTGAATCCAAAGATATCTTGGAAGTTTTTCCTAGTTCCATCGAATTTGTGATAATGAAATTTGACTGTATACATGTATATATTGTTTTGTTTTTTTTATTAATGGCTACTTAAAAATGAATCATTAACAAAAAATAATCTGTTGATTTTAAAGGGAATTTTGAATATTCTGAATTTAGTACCTAAAATATATGTAGTATCTAGTAAAATAAATGAAAAGTATGTATTTTTGCAAATCTGGCATTTTTGAAATTTATTTCAGGGTCTCAAAAAACCATATAATCCAATAATTGGTGAAACATTTAGGTGTTACTGGAAACACCCAAAAACTAACAGTAGAACATTTTACATAGCTGAACAGGTAAATAATGCAAGACCATTGAAGTGTCTATTAATAGTAGGAAAGATCATAGAAGTATATGTACAATGTATCTGTTTATATTTTTAATAGTATGTTTATTTGCTTTAAAAAGTGTAATGTGGTAAAATTCAAAATTTAAAGTTTAAAAGTTTAAATTTCAAGTTGGAACTTTTCTGATTTTCCATTCTTATTTAGAGGATATGTCATTTTAGATATCCCATCATCCTCCAGTATCGGCCTTTCATATAACAAATCGTCATGATGGATTTAATATTAGTGGCAGCATTCTGGCTAAATCAAAATTTTATGGTAAGAAGAGAAAACTGTAGAGGATAGTTACTAATTTTTCTCTAAAATAAGCTTTAGATGAATTTATTTAGTATGTCACTATTTTTATCCACAGGTAATTCGTTATCGGCTATATTGGACGGTACAGCCAAGTTAACGTTCCTTAAGAGAGGAGAAGACTACTTAATAACCATGCCTTATGCACATTGTAAAGGTAAATCATGTGTCGTGCTCCCTTACAAAGAATGCATTCTGACTGTTAGAAGAACATGCATAGAGTGAATGATTTAGACTTGATAAAGCAGTTTACAACATTTGTAGATTTCTGAGTTATTGGACCTTAGAGGAAAGGGTAGACAAATCTAACATATCAGCCTTGATTTTTTTTTTGTTTGCTAGGTATCTTAATAGGGACATTGACAATGGAGATGGGAGGTAAAGTTTCCATTAGCTGTCCAAAGACAAGTTACAGAGCAGAAGTGGAATTCAAATTAAAGGTTTGTTTTGCCCCTCAGTAGAGTAATCACAACTTCTCAGGCCTTTCTGGCAAATTGGGAAAGATTTTGAATGTTAATTGTTTGTTTGTGAGACCATTGTATAGCTGTGAACACTGAACAGCTGAAATTGGATGATTTCTCATTTTAGCCTTTTCTAAATATGGGTGAAGCCTCCAACAAAGTAACTGGGAAATTAAAGGTTGGATCTGACACACTGGCTACTCTTGAGGGTCACTGGGACCAGGATATCTACATTAAGGACAAGGCGACAGGGGTAGATCATTTTGGTTGTGGATCACATAAAATTTATCAAAATATAGACCCTCTTGAAAGGATTGAAAATTAAAGATTTCATTTTTAGTTGAAAGAAAAACATTCTAAAAAAATGGTAGAGACCTCATAAACTTTCTGTCAAGGTAAAACCAAACAGAATTGAAAATTGAAGAAAAACCTTATTTGTAGGAAACCCATTTGTTTTGGAGTCCAACAGCAGAAACAAAAGCTCAGAGGCTGAAAAGATACACAGTACCTATAGATCATCAAGAGGACATGGAATCAGAGAGGTCAGTTAATACCACTTCTGTGTAGATAGAAACAAATAATTATACCCTCCGCAAACAGTTTTTTAGGGGGGAGGGTATAGGATCACCTTGTTCCTCCCTCTGTTCATGCAGTCTGTCCGTGCTATCGTGTCCAGGCTATAACTTTGCAAGAGAGAATCATTGGAATCATTGGAAGCTCATACTTGATTTAAAGGTTGTCTATGACCTGAAGGTGTGTCTTGATCATAACCCAAGGTCAGATCTGCAAGTTCAAGGTCAATGGCAGAAAAAAGTATAAAATTTCCCTATGGAGAAATATTGGAAGTTTATACTTCATATAAAAAAGACTGCTATGACCTAGGGTGTGTCATGATCAAGGTCATTTGATCAAGTTCTCTTCAGAAAATGTCCTGACCATATCTTGTAATGGAGAACATTAGAGGCTTGTACTTCTCACAAATATTGCATTTCACATGAGGATATATACTGACCTTGACCAAGGTCATTCCAGCAAGTTCAAGGTCACCGGCAGAAAAAATTGATTTATTTGTGTCTGGTCTATTACTCTCAAATGGAAGCTAATTGGAAGTTGATACTTGACATAAAGATCATTTATGATTTAGGATATGTCAAGATCTGACCCAAAGTTTTATTGGTTGTGTTAAGCCAATAAATTCTAATGGAAAAATAGTAAAGTTCATACTTTAGCAAATGTACTTATGTCCTAAAGATATGTCTTGTTCTTAATCAGGGTCATTCTCACAGAAAAAGTATAATATTTGTGTTCAGTTCATTACTCACTTATGGATAAGTGTTGGAAGTTCAAATTTCAAGGATTATTTGTGAGTTAAAGATACGTCATAACCTTGACCCAAGTACAAGTACACTGGAAAAGTGTCAAATTCATGTCAGGTCCATAATTTTCTAAATGGAAAAACACTGGATGTTCATATTTCACCCAAGGATTACTTATGACCAGAGGATGAATCATATTTGGAAATTGTATATGGCACTTTCCAAAAAAAAAAATTGCAGCAAGAAGTAGAACTTTGTGAGCTCGCTCACAGTACCTGTAGTTTTTGATGAGGTGCAACTGATGTTGCTAAGTAAAAACTTAAAATCAGTGTTTGTAGTGTTGTGAGATTCTGTGGAATTTAATATCATAAATTATAATGATGAAATTTGATTCCAGGTTGTGGAAAAATGTTAGTGATGCAGTAATTACTTCAGACATGCATGCAGCCACTCAGGAGAAATACATTCTGGAGGAGAGGCAGAGAAATGAGGCAAAGGAAAGGAAAGCAAAGATGCTGGAATGGATACCAAGGCTGTTTGAGAGGGACCCCATCACCGGGGATTGGATGTACAAGTTTGTGGAGTAAGTATCTATGGAGTACACAAAGTAGCAAATTGGCTTACTCATTATGTATACTCTGAATGTGATGTATTAGAATCATTAAAAATCTGTATTGAAAATTAAAGAATTTAAATGTCCTTGCATATCCTAGCCTCTAAAAAAAACAAAATTATTTACATTTTAAAATTTTTTCTCAAAACATGTCTTATTTGATGCTGAAGAGAAGGGGGGAAAATCTGCTTTGTATATATCTCGAAAGTATGCAAAAAACAAAATTCAATAGCAGTTACCAAAGAAAAAAATTTGTCATATTTATAGAATATGAATACATTTTTTATAACATTAGCATGCGACCTTGGGATCCTAGCAATGATTTACTACAGTATGAGCAAGGCTATAAAATCCAGACCTGGACTAAACACAAGACTCCAGTGGTCCGGACCTGCAGTATTACGAGTCTGGATCAAAAGCCAGACGTGTTTCCAGTTAGACAAATGATTTCCCGGAACTGTTCACTGAAGAAGAAAACACTGCAGGCCCTGGAGGAGAGTGAGAGTTCTACTCCAGAGATTGAGAATGGCAGGCTAGACAGTGATTCATCCGAGCCTAATAAAAGTAGGTAGAAATTGGAATTGTTTATAAATGATAGAGTGTGAATAAATATAATACAGGTTGTTCATTAAATAATCATAAGGAATGTTTTCAAAGAAAAAAAAGTCAGAATTAGCAAATATGAGAATAACAATTATAGTATTCTTGTAGATCTTATTATGCTACTTGTCCACAGAGAGAAAAACATGTAAAAGCAAAATAAACTGAAATTAAAAAATATGGAAAGGAAAATCAATTTCTTAAAACAAATTTCCTTTAGTACATTTAATTAATTAAGCTAGAGACTCTCTTTCCCCATTGCAATACAGATGCCATTGATTGTTTTCATTTTGAGGTTTGATTTAATTTTTAGGTCGAAGGGTACAGAAATCCTCCTCCAGAGTGCGGCTGTCCGAGGAATCATTGACCAAAGCAATGCAACCTTTACTGAAACTACAGGAGGAGACAAATCAATCTTTAAAAGTGATACAAACTCGTCTAACTTTATTAACTTCTAGCATTGAAGAGCAGCAACAAGGGACCTTATCCACATGGCCTTGGCTGATTTTAATTGCAGCATTTGTGATTCAGATATTTATTCAGTGGATCTTCAGGTGAAAGAGACTACCCGGTTAAACGTTGATTGTTCATGTTTGTTATTGCTTTGCCAGTTATGTTCTGTCATGTTTCTCTTTTTTTGTTTTATCTGCTGATAGAAGATCTGACTTTTAAAAACATAATGATAAGAATAATGCAATTGTGATTTCTCTTTTGAGGTGTTACACTCCATGCACTGTGTAGATTTTTATTCAAAAGGTAATGGATTTACTATTAAATCTACTGATTATAATTCTGATGAGCGTTCTCTAATGCATGTTTATATACATATACCTACAAAAACATGTCTAATCAAGGAATTATCTTTATCCTTAGGGAAATGGTGCAATAATCATTCAAAGAATAGATACATTAATGATTTAAAGCGTTATGTGATAGGACATTTTTGCTGCAATTTATTATGTAGTGTTATGTGCTACAATGTGTTTCAAGCTATTGTGTTCATCATACATCATAATTATATATTTTATTTGATTACTAGAGTTGATATTATTTCAATTTGATTAGTTGTGCAATACATCATTATAGCCTTAGTTGTTAAAATGATTTCTCAATCTTATGGTGCAATCCTTTCATATCTGTTACAAACATACTGTTTAACGGGTATTTTCTGCAGTTGGAAATTTTTGCGATTTAACCCCCGAAAGGTAGCAGAAAAATTATTTAAGGGAAAGGACTACCAGATGTTAAGGATTTTGCAGAACACTGCATTATTTTACATATTTCTAGGTTCAAGACATGTTGACCTTGTTCATAGTGCATTAGAACTGAATCTTTGAGTTTGTAATTGTTAATTATTCTCAAATCACCTTTTTTTTTTTCATATTTCAATAAGCATTAATTTTTATGATATACAGTAAGCACTAAGCAGTTTTGAAATAACACTGAATCAGGCTGACTGACATATGTTCCACTTATCATGTTTGGATATGAAAGACATTAAGAGAATATTTTGCAATTGTAATTTCTGCAGATTTGTTCTATCTGAAAAAATTTTGCAAAAAAAAGGACAACCACAGAAAATACCCGTTATATGGTATATTATATCAAACATATATATGTTATATTCCTTTTTTGTTATTTCTTGTACAAAATATTTATATATTAGTGCAAATATTCTGTTTACTTGATTTGTTTGATGTATAATAACTGTCTGGGCCAATAGAGCTCATATTTCTTTTTTTCTCGTAGGGATTTTATTTTTCCTGATGATAAATTTTGTTGTTTTTGTTAATATGTACATGTATATACTTGCATTATCATGTATAATACTGAAATCCATTAACCCAAGTTTGCAAATTAAGAATGATTACTTGGATAATTTTAAGTGAAAAGCAAAAAGGGAGATAATTCATGTTGAGTAATTTATTTCAAAAAGTTTTTATTACTCTTGTTCATCTGTGTGACTTTGGGATGGTAGAGTTAATTAACTATCTCTAATATCTAGCATATCAGAATGTTATGTACAGTCGATACAGCTTGAAATTCAATCTCATTTCTTAATTCCAAAAATAACTATTATTGTGTTATTTTGAACACTTGCATCAATAGAAATTTATGTGTATGTACCTGAATATGGCTGCCAGTAATTACAAAACATGGCTTTACAAAAAAAGCAGTTTGACACATTATTTATTGTTTTTTTTCCTTGGCCAGGTGCCAGGTTGTATTTATTATTGGTGATCAATTTTAAATTGATACATATACACATGTATTGTGCAATTAAAATGATAACCCTTTTTTTCCGTCGTTTATTTTTAGTAATCAGAAAATTTATGCCCAGACTTGAGTTTCATTTTAGAAACATTATACAGTAAAACTTCTTTAGTACAGACACGGATATAGTGAATTTACTGATAGAGCGAAGTTTTTTGCAATCCCAAGGGAAATCCTTAACAATTCCTTGTAAAATTTTACGGATATGACAAACTTGGATATAGTGAATTTATGTTATAGTGAACTGATTTTATGTCCCCTAGAAGTTAAAAATAATGAAATTTACATCTTTTTTAGTGAATTTTTATAAATTTTAATTTTGAAAATATTGAACTGACATTATTTTTTTTCAGTATTTATATTTGAAACTCAATTCATCCAAAAACTTGAACTCATAGGTAAACTTTGTATTTTATACTCCCTTAAATACATTTGGTAGTCATAGCTGAATGAAAAAATCTATATTGCAAATTCACTGCGTACCGGTACTTTAAGGAATTCATTATATGGATATAACAGATTACGGATATAGCAAAGTAAATTTGCACGTCCCCAGAACTTTCTATAACTGAATGTTACTGTACAGAAGTGAGAAACGCATGTTGAGCTGCAAATATACTTTAATGGATGTTTCATATGATGCAGTTTATAGTTCTGGTGGTCTTGAATGTCTATCTGGCTGGTGTGGACATTGCATTGTGGGTACTAATGGATCTCAAATTGCATTTGATCACAGTTGTGATATGAACATATTATTTTCTCATTTATCATCACCAAATAGATTGAGTCCTAAATGTTCAAGGCTCAACTTTGTTACAAAGAAATGTAGGATACTGAATGGAGTTTGTATATTATTGTGAGGGAGACCATTGCCTTATTTACATACAGGTAGGGATGAACGGCAGGAGGATATAATATTTGAGAGTTTTCTCAAAAAATATCTCTCGTTTGGACTGCATTTATAAAATGCAGTTGCTGGCCAGAATACACATTTTAGAATGGGTAACAATGTGATCCATTGTAAGTTTCCTGTTAATCGATTCTATTCTGTTCTTAAATTTGGGGTCAAAACAAATCATTGACAAAGTTGTGGACAAAATTGAAGAATACTTGTGTTTGTGAAACACTGATGCAACTGCATGACAGCTCTTGGCCAAGCTGCCAAAGTATAAGTTTTTTTTTTAAATGTAAGTTTAAAGGAATTTTCATGTGAAATATGAAAGCCCTTGAACCGCCCTTGCACCAACTATTCAGAGATTAAGGTCAAGGTTCAAGATTTAACTCTAAGGTCAAGTTCAAAAGGTAAAAAATGTTGGTACCCAAGGGAAGGTCTTCACAAAGAATATACGTATGAAATATGAAAGCCTATTCTAACATTATGGCCAAGTGAAAGTTTTTCAAAAGCAACACAAACTCCAAAGTCAAAAATTTTGGTACCCAAGGGAAGGTCCTGTCATGAGGAATACACATGTGAAATATGAAACCCTAGCATCAACCATTAATGCAAAAGTTATAAACAAGGTTAAATTTGGTAAAATTTTGCAAAAGTGGGTCAAACTTTGTCAAATATAATGTTCTTGTCACAAAGAAATGCATATGTGAAATATGACAAGAGGCCCAGGGGCCACATCGCTCACCTGAGCACTATGGCTAGGAAAAAGCAGAAATCACTTTAATCTTGAAAGGTTGAAAAGTTTAAATATAAAAGTGGGGGGGGGGGGGGGGTCATGAATTGAACAAATTTGAATCTACATTATCTGAGGATGCTTCCATTTAAATATGACCAATCATGGCTTTGCTGTTCTTGAGTAGAAGATTTTTAAAGATTTAACCTATGTACTCCTATGTAAAACTTTGATCACCCATTGTTGCCCCACCCGACCCCTAGGGGTCATGTTTGAACAAACTTGAATGTACACTATCTAAAAATGCTTCCATATAAATATGACCAATCATGGCTTTGCTATTCTTAACAAACAGTTTTTTTTAAAGATTTTTACTATGTGTTCCTATGTAAAACTTTGATCGCCCATTGTGGCTCCACCCGACCCCCAGGGGTCATGATTCGAACAAATTTGTAAGTACACTAGCTGAGGATGCTACCATATAAATATGACTAATCATGGCTTTGCTGTTATTAACAAAAAGTTTTTTTAAAGATTTTTACTATGTGTTCCTATGTAAAACTTTGATCGCCAATTGTGGACCCACCTGACCCCCGGGGGTCATGATTTGAACAAATTTGAATGTACACTATCTGAGGATGCTTCCATGTAAATGTGACCAATCATGGCTTTGCTGTTCTTGAGAAGAAGATTTTTGAAGATTTTCCCATATATTCCCATGTAAAACTTTGATCGCCCATTGTGGACCCATCCGACCCCCGGGGGTCATGATTTGAACAAATTTGAATGTACACTATCTGAGGATGCTTCCATGTAAATGTGACCAATCATGGCTTTGCTGTTCTTGAGAAGAAGATTTTTGAAGATTTTCCCATATATTCCTATGTAAAACTTTGATCACCCATTGTGGCCCCACCCGACCCCCGGGGGTCATGAGCTGAAGAAACTTGAATCTACACTACCTGAGGATGCTACCATATAAATATGACCAATCATGGCTTTGTTGTTCTTGAGAAGAAGATTTTTAAAGATTTTTTCCTATATATTCCTATGTAAAACTTTGATCGCCCATTGTGGCCCCACCCGACCCCCGGGGGTCATGATTTGAACAAACTTGAATCTACACTACCTGAGGATGCTTCCATGTAAATATGACCAATTATGGCTTTGCTGTTCTTGAGAAGAAGATTTTTAAAGATTTTTCCTATATATTCCTATGTAAAACTTTGATCGCCCATTGTGGCCCCACCCGACCCCCGGGGGTCATGATTTGAACAAACTTGAATCTACACTACCTGAGGATGCTTCCAAGTAAATATGACCAATCTTGGCTTTGCTGTTCTTGAGAAGAAGATTTTTGAAGATTTTCCCATATATTCCTATGTAAAACTTTGATCGCCCATTGTGGCCCCACCCGACCCCCGGGGGTCATGATTTGAACAAACTTGAATCTACACTACCTGAGGATGCTACCATATAAATATGACCAATTATGGCTTTGCTGTTCTTTAGAAGAAGATTTTTAAAGATTTTTCCTGTATATTTCCTATGTAAAACTTTGATTGCCCATTACGGCCCCACCCTACCCCCGGGGGTCATGATTTGAACAAACTTGAATCTACACTACCTGAGGATGCTTCCACATAAGTTTCATGTTTTCAAGCACAGTGGTTCTTGAGAAGAAGATTTTTTAATGATGCCATTAATTTTTCACAAATTCTTAATTATCTCCCCTTGGAAGAAGGCGTGGCCCTTCATTTGAACAAACTTGAATCTCCTTTACCCAAGGATACTTTGTGGCAAGTTTGGTTGAAATTGGCCCAGTGGTTCTTGAGAAGAAGTCGAAAATGTGAAAAGTTTACAGACGGACAGACGGACGGACAGACGGACTACAGACAAAATGTGATCAGAAAAGCTCACTTGAGCCTTCGGCTCAGGTGAGCTAAAAAGCCACATCTTCAACCAATCAAAAGTTATGGGCAAGGTTCCTTTTAGCAGGCAAACAGATAACAGAGACAGATGGACAGAATAAAATACTATATGTTGTATGCCCCTGAATCTTGATTGATAAAAAAGCCCAAGGCTTGAAAAATCCCTCCTCAACACATAAAACTAGAACTGTCCAAAATGGACAAATACCCCCCACTGGGTTTTTCAGAGAAGGTGCCAAGTCACTAATACTAGTATTTGATGGATCTAAGAGGTGTTAAACATATAGAGTGAAAATTTACCAGTAATTGCTCATTATACTGTATAAGCAGAATTTTTAGTGAGAATTTAATTTTGGCATTATTAGCGAGGGTGCTGAGATCGCTAAAATTGAATATCGCTAAAAATTTATTGCGTTTTATTTGTAATAGCCTTTTTAGTGAGCATATTAAAATCGCTAAAACTACTTCTCGCTAAAAATAAAATACCAATTTTTAAGGACAAATCGCTAAATTTGTGTCTCGCTAAAATTTCCACTTAATGGTATTTTTTTAATGAATGAAACTAAGGCGCAGTCTAATAAATAATATTAATAACATTGTTTTTTTATTACATTGAAAAAAGATAAATAAGAATTTTTCAAATATTTCTCTATAAGAAAGTATGGATGCATTATTTATCCATTTTATCTACAGTGACTATACATGTAGGTCAAGATCATGACACACCCTTAGGTCATAAGCAATCTTTGTGTGAAGTGGAAACTCCCAACATCCCATGGCCTAGCATTATTCTCCATAAGATACGACCAGACACAAATTGTGAACTTTTTCTGTCTGACCTTGGGTCAAGGTCATGACACACCCTCAGGCCATGAACAATCTTTGTGTGAAGTAGTAGATTCTAATGTACCTCCATAAGAAAGATATGGACCAGACACGTTTGCACAGACAGACAAGGTAAGTCCTACATACCCCCCAAACTTAGTTTGGGGGGGTGGGGGGGTGGGGGGGGGTGGGTGGTGGTGGTATAATTAGTACTTTGATCTTTCAGACCCCACTCTTTAACTTCCCTAAGCTCTTGTATACCTTTCAAGGCACCAAGTCCAAAGTATCTATGAACTTCTAGCATGCAGAAGTATTTCACACCCCGACTGCTTGGTGTTGAAATGACCAGGAGAAGCTACACTGATTCAGTGGTCAAGGCTGACCAAGAGGTTAAGAAAATTATGAACTATCTGTCAAATGCTGCATACTGATAAGGAATAATTATAATGTCCTTTTTTTTCTTTTTTTTTTTTTTAATATTTCAGCCCATTTAGCTGAAAATAAATTGCCTGTGCCTGTACATTGTCAGCTGTTAAGTCCGGGTGACCATAAGTATTTGATTACATCTCATAAGAGTATGAGTAATTTAAACAATCCAATTGTAAATTCATTTACAATATATGTTTATTCTCAAAACACTAGACTTCACATCCATTAACCTATCAAAGTTTTTTTTTTATGTGTAAGTACCGGTACTTTATACTGGACTGAAGCTCTGTCCACTGACCTTGAAACTGCTCAATTATAGTATCCATTAAGCATAGTTTAACCTGAAAGATATGCTCTCCTCTCTTAAAGGCAGAAAAAAATCTATAAATTCCTCTCCATTTTTATCAAATCCCACTTTGATGTTCTTGGAGCATTGAATGTAAACCCAGTGATTTTACAACGAAAAGATTTATTTTTCGGTAAAATAACAATTTCAAGTTGGTAGTTAAAATATCATTCAAATGTTTTGTGTCAAGTTGTTAGTTAAAAATATCATTCAGATGTTTTGTGTCCTTTTCCATATGCAAAGTATATTTAATAAATATGCAAAAGCATCTTTTGATTAAAAAAACAAAGTAATTATAATAATGAGGTTATTTGTATGTTGTATAACAGATGTATATAAATCAACATAAACAGGTATTGTTAAATACACTTACAAGTAAATAAAACTCTACTCTGTCATAGCCTGAAATTAGTGTATGCCTCCTAGTTTAATGGACATGATTTGTGTGTATTTAATTGAAACTGATTTTTGAAGCAATAAATAAATTAAATAAGGAATACTTATCAATGGATTTTGGCAAGGAATGATTATAGATCTATTTTCTTCTGATAACATGTACCTAAATATAAATCTTGACTGCATGAAAATCAAATATCTCTCTTCTTACATACCAGAAAATGCACAAATTTATACTACCTTATCAATACATGACATGCAAATATTTTAATTTTTTTGATTATATTACTATGTAAGGGGTATCAATTTATTCTGTGTAAAAAATTATGACTGAATAACCAGAAATAACAGAGTACCAGTCCACATAATGGTTAACATGAGTTAAACACACATCATAATCAAACTTGGTTACACTTAATCACCACCAGTGTGGGATAAGAAAACCCTTGAGAACATTGCTGTATGGACATGACCTTGATTTACAGATAAGTGCAAGTCAAGCTGATCCCTGTTTACTTGACCCTAGTGTGAACCGGCCAAGAATCGCAGTCACATAAAAAATACATTGGATAAGCCTTTTTAAAGATACCGAAAAAATGTGGAATTTCTTCACATACAAATTGATTTCCACATACCCCACTCAATATGTACACTTGACTCGAAAGTATACTGTCTCCTAAATAATCTGCTTGAAACAGATCATAAGACAAAAAGTAGAGGTTTTATACTTTACATACATGTAGTTAAAGAATTTGATCAGAATTTTTTTGTCCATTTAAATGAGGTATTAATTCTTCACATATCCATTTTGTTCAAAATTTTATCACAAAAATATTGGTGAAAATGACAAAAATACTGTTCTACACAAGAACAAGGAATAAAATATGGTACAATGATGCACACTGAAGTGGTAAATTTTTTTTTTCTTATAGAACATTGTTACAAATTTCAGGAAAAAAAGAAAGCAGTTTTAAGACATCTGACTCTCTGCAACTAGCAATGCACATTTTGCTGATATGGGGATTTTAAGAAGTTAGAAGAGAGAGAGAGACTCTCCACTCCTGTAAAACTCACATATTGCAATGAATATGTACATTTATCATGTTTTTGAAGTTATCACATGTATCAATTGAACATGTGTTTATACCCATTGTTTATGGAGACTGTCAAGCTGACTGACCATTTTAATAATAGAATACCTATTTTACAGGTATTGATTTATGGGCTCTCTCTCAAAATAGACTGGTTTTCCCCCACCCCCTCGCCCCTATGTGCTTTTTTCTGCCATAGCTTATATAGGTTTATTTGTCTTTATAGGTATAAAAAAGTTTCAAAGAAGACCAAGATGCACAAGGGATAACTCTTCTGTACCTACATATTTGATGCTATTCATTTTATAAATTATTAATGTGAGTTGAAACATTTAACAAATTTATAAGAACTTTAAAAGCCTTCTCCTTTCTGAAGAAATGGGAGGCATCATTATTTAACATTTAAAGCTTTCTCCTTTCTGAAGAAATGGGAGCATCATTATTTAACAACCAAAGTTCAAAACAAAGCTCAAAATGTTCCATTCAAATGGAAAATTTTATCATCTCAATGCACATCATTGTATACAACCTCTCTGCTTAAAATTATGTTTGAGAAGAATGTTAAAGCAATATTACACGGATTTCTATTGTTGGCAATGTGATTATCAAGTTAAAAAGATGAGATGCTAAAGCATAGTATTAAAGCCTAATACACAGTATTAAAAATATATATAATCCCTGTACCTCCAAAGACCAATGACACTGCAATCTCACTTTGAAATAAACTGAAGACTTTCAACTATTAGCAGTAATAAAAAAATAATAAATAGGTTAGTTTTTAGACACGTTTTTGAGGACAATGAGCCCTGACGGGTGTGTATAACATTGCAATGATAAAATACACAGGACATTCAGAAATAGACTTTCACACCGAAAAATTGATCATGATTTAAGAATGCTCACCTATACACATTGAGCAAACACCCTAAAACCATAATTCACTTTTCAACACTGGCAAGATGACATCCCTATTAAAGCCCCGGGCAATGAATATGAAAATGCTTTAAACCTTATTGCACCAAAACAATAATTTTGTGTAAAACATATCACATAACAATCACAAAAAAAGTTACAGTTTTGGAATATCATCCCTGATGTGCCTCTGACACTGCGAGTCCATGAAACCTTCTAGCACTAGACTTCCTCTACAGGTGCAGTTCTAGGCTCAGACTTGCTTCTCTTCATTCCCTTTTCACTCCCCTCCCGTGTCAGCCCTTCACAGTTTTTACCCTTTTTAGAGTCCTGTCTTTTCTGCCCACAACACGTGTCTGTGTAACAATTCTTATCTGGTCCACATTCTAGAATACAGTCCCTCTCAGATATCTGTCTTCCTAAGCCATTTTCTAGTGGATTCTACAATAAAGTTAGTTTGTAATAACAATAGTATTTCACTGTGTTATGGGGGTAGCATATTACGACAAGGAATCTAACATAACCTTCAGTTTTTTTAAAATTCTGCAAGTACACAACCAAGTGACTGTCCAGTAATTAACCAAAACAGAATGTCTGTACATGTATTCATATAAATGAAACTATCGAATTTGATGCAGATAAATTTTTGTTGTTTAGCTTATGTACAATGATTCTTACCTGTAGAAACTCTGGTTGGATGGTAGTGGAATGGATTCCTTCATTATGGAAAATCTCCTTAACTGTCTCTGATATAGTGAAGTAATCCTGTAAATCTTTACATGTTATATGAGCAGAGGCTATGATCCTACTGCCCGCTAACTGCCATACATGGAACTCATGAACCGCTAGTACCCCTTCAACCTGTTTAAATATTAAAGCATATACATGTATAACCAAAGCATATTTTAATGTTGACATACATGTCAGAGATGCAATTTCTTTTCAAGATTCCTTTGAAAGGAATTCTAAGTTTACATCTTCATGAACGCCACCCACTGATGAACAATGTTCAGTCAGGTTCATTGTTTTCCCTTTGTTTCAAAGTATAGGGTTAGAGATTAACTGTGACAGACTTTGGGTTGAAGTTTAGCACAAATCTCTGTGGACCTTACAACAATTAAATTTCCATTTTTTTTTTTTTTAAAATTTCAAAGTGGCATTTTTATCAATTAAAGCGGTCAATTTGGCCGGTAGCCGGTTCTTAGGGAAAACACTGAGGTAGTAGATTATAAACTTAATTGATGAAAATATGTGACAATTCTTTTTCAGTTTCTTACCTTTGATAATTTTTCTTTAATTCCATCAAGATTTATATGCGATGGAACAGTCTGTAGCAAAATAAAACCTGATTCCTTCACTGAAAAGAAAGATTTTATCTTCACTGTACTTAAACAACAAAATTGTCAACTTGATTTGTTCTTTTTGTCATGTCATAAACTGTATATAAAGATTTTTTTCTAGCAAAATGTAATGTATCAGTTTGTATAAATGTGTATACTTACAAAGTGGAGCTGTTGTTCCTAGTATAATCATCACCATCATTATGCTGCAACAGAGGATTAATGTAATTCAATATTTACTGCACATCAAATTCAACTAAGGACAATGGAAAATCTCCTGGTCATACAAGTATTATGGTCTGAACATTTGAATATCATTTTTCTTTGGAAAATTATTGTCTTGAAAATACAGTCAAATCTCCTTATCTCAAACTCAGTGGAACAGACAAAAAAACTTCAAGATTTATCCGAGGGTTAGAGATATTGAGGGTTAAATACTTATAGAAAAAGTGCTTAGAGACTTTCAAATCACCTTAACATATCCATGGTATTCCAGATATCCTTGTTCGAGATACAGAAGTTCAACTGTATATGTTCATTATTTGGCTGTCTCTTGAACTATTATGAAACTTTAAACAGTATAAAACTAAGAATTTAATTTCTTCCTCAGTAAAATAGATTACCTCATGGCTGGGTCTACATAGAATCTCCAGTCTCCCTCGCACAACCAGATGATAAGGGCACTGATTATCACAATGACAGACCCCAACGCATCCCCCAAGACATGTAGAAATACCCCCCTCATGTTTAGTTGGGAACTGGAGGCTGTTCAAAGGAAACAAGATATCAGCATTCTGATTTACATGTATACAAAAGCACATACTTGCTTAAATCAATGGTGCAACTCTTAAATAAATGATCGCTACAAGAAGAAAAATCCATTTTAAGATTAACAATAAGTTGAGTATCATTGTAGCTTACTGATTTTATATGTAAATGGATGTATTGATATAGATTTCTTTATTTAAAAAAAATATAATTACCATTTATCATTTTAAGTACATTGTTTACAGCATTCAATGCAATTAATTAAACACATCAAATTATATTCTTCATATTTATTTACAACTTCACTGTTATGGTACTTCTGAGTTAAAATTGCACACGACTCGGTTCAAAAATGATTCATATGAAAGACAGTTGTTATATAGAAGTATGTGTACTTAGAATTTAATTTAGATTTCAGTGTTAATTAAAAAAGAATTCTGTAAAAAGAGAAAAAAAATAGGTTTTAGCAGCTCTGACCACTGCTTGAATTGGAATGCTGGTTAAAAATAAAGAAAAAGGAACTAAATTTGTCTAGCTAAGAACTTAAAAAGGAATATTTTACTAATCTGCAAGCTACGATCAGGTATAGATATATAGATAAAAATATATATCATTTATGAATCGTGTGGATGGATGTGCATATTGTTTCATTGAACCTTAACATGTGAAAAGAACAAGTTGATAAACTAAATATTGTGGATATGTGGTCACATTTCTTGTGACATACAAGGAGGTTTTAAAATCAGACAATTCAGAAATGGAATCAAACAATTAGTTGTAAGCCCTTTAATATAAAAATAAATGGTTCCAGTGACCATACACATCATGAAATACTGTGAGATATTTAAAGAACAATTAACAAAGCACCAGGATAACACACAGCGAGTCTGTTTAATTTAATTCTGTAATGGTCCAATGCTGACCCATTGTCATTATTTATGTTAAGAAAGCACGTGTTACAAGAAAATCCTTGCTTAGTATTGTGATGACTTTAAATCTACTTTTTCATCAGAAATTGTTTCTCGATTTTTCTAATCTGCTTGAAAAAGTTTTAAAACCATATGCTATCATTATGTTTAAGTGCTGTCTGTTCCAAGATGTCAAAAAGTGTCAACAATTTAAAGTGTGTCAATATGGTCAACAAATTAATTTTTAGTGAAACCATTCTTGTGCAAATTACATCACTTCTTATGATGAATTCAAAAAGAAATTCTCTCCAGATAAATGATGGGAAATACTGTTATATATTTGCAGAAAGAACACAATCTACACTCCACATCTAACTCTAATTAGAAAACTCATCAAGAACTGAGATAACACTATTGAGATGAGAGATGAGTGCTGGCAGTGTGCTAGGAATCAAGTGAAAGTAGATCTTACACAGTTTCTTCTTCATCTCAATATCTATTAACAAAAACATCACTTTGCTGTTTACAATTCAATAAATTCCTTCTTGCATACTAAAAGAAAAAAAGTTCTATCTTTCCTAAATTTCATTACTGCAACTTTTAAAATGTTACAATTTTTCATAAGTTGTATGTAAATTAATGCTCTTCTCCTCGTATTTTTTCAACAGTGCAAACTTTTACATGGTACTGACCAACTTTGGGGTTATCTAGCTCCAGCTTGACAATTCCATTGGTTGTGGTCACTTCTTTTGTCCCCCTCTCGACCAATTCCTTGCTTTCTTCATGATCACATGCCTCCAATTTCTCAGTTTCACCCCCATGACTGTGACCATGACCTCCTCCATGGCTGTGACCGTGACCCCCTCCTCCTCCATGACTGTGACCTGAGGAAGTAAAAGTCTTCAGATGTAACTGAATTTCATAATAATGAAAGTTAAGAAAAATATTAAAGAAACGATATATATTATATTGCAAGCTTCAGTCATGATCTTTTTGAGTGGAAATAAGAATAATTGCAGCAGTTTGTAAATGATAAATACCAGGGATGGGGTAATCGTAATCGAGTAATCGTAATCGATTGTAATGATTACTGTTTTTCAAGTAATCGACAGTAATCTGTAATCGAAGAGATTTTCGATTACTTGTAATCGTAATTTAATCGATTGCAGCTAAAATTTTCAATGTAATTATAATTACTTTTTCGATTACTTTCGATTATTTTATACATAAATGGATGTTATTTTGGAGAATTAATTCCAGTCAATCACACATAAATATCAAATATAAACCACCTAGTGTAATGTTTGGATTTCCTAACTTTTCTTATCATAAGTTTAATAATGTTCTCAATGAAATTTGCATTATAGACCTACTGGTCTAGTATTAAATAATTCAGAAGTATATTTCAACCATTTATTAATAAAATATACAGATTTTTCGTGTGCATTTTACATTTGACCCACTGTCCTCTTGCTGCATGTCCTTTTTCATATTTCAGATGTTGAAAAACTTTGTCTTGTAATAGAAAATTATAAATAGCAAAAACAGATTTAAGTGCTGTATTAAATATAAATAATTTGGTAAATAAACTACATAGTACTCAAAAAAAAAGATGGAAATACTTATTCATATCTGAAAATGTTTAAACAACTTCAAACTTGTGTTTTAGTAAATTTGCAAAATCATTCTCATGTTTTCATTCAAAATTGTAAGGTTGCTTTTATATCAGTGAGGGGTTATAAGTGCCTGTAAGAGAGGGAGTAAGTGTCACTGTGTTTGCTTATCTTAATTGGCTAATTAATTGACTGAGACATATCCCTGTTTGCAGATAATGAGGTGTAAACTGTGAACTACCTTGTGTTTAACTATCATTCCATTGAAGACAAACAATGAAACTGTGTTACATGTATTAGTTAAATCACTTAAAGACACATTTAATTTACATGTTAATTACTAAGAGTTCGTTCTAATTTACTTATTTTTTTGAAAAAGACACGTACAGGAATGTTTAATGTGTACTGTCAACATACGGACAGCCCAAATACTTCTAAGGAAGTAATTCACAATAAAATATTAAATAATTTTTTCAACAAGTCAATAAATATGGAGGTACAGATCTAAGGTTGAAAGGAATAATTAATTCCTTGGCATATTTTATTGTAGGAATCATGTCTCCACTTTCCATGGTAGAAAATCCCTCATTTGGGCATTTATTGTGAATGTTAGCCAGAATAAAACCTTAAAAGAATCTGCACTGAAACTGCAGGAACACATTCAAACTTCATTGGATAACATCAAAATTTACCATTTAAATATTGCTTTGATATTTGAAGGGATAAAAACTTGGAAGTAACCGATTATTAATCGATTACATCTTCGAAAGTAATCGATTACAATCGATTACAGGACAAAAATGAGTGTAATCGATCAATAATCGATTACACAAAATTCCTCTAAGTAATCGATTATTAATCGATTACATTTTTCAGTAATCGTGCCCATCCCTGATAAATACAAATATGCCCCCTCTCCTCTCCTTCTAACTGTTGATTCAAATCCCTCACTCAAAATGATTTGTTTATTTCAAACAGAATGTAGTACATATACTGTAGAAGTACTTTTTTCCACATGGTATTTATTTACACTATGTACAATGTCACACACAGAAATTTGTCCCAGCATACTTAAAGAACATTAAAGGCATATAGAGGCAATCTAAGAAATCTGTGCAATTTTCTACACATTAATTGAACAGAAATTGTGATTCCGCAGAATTATGACCCCATGGAAAAAAAAACAGTATGTTTACAGTATACTGATTTCCATGCATGGTTGACTGGGGGCTGTGGCAATGAGATTGATCATTTATTTCAGCCTTGTGCTTTAGGCACAACTGAAAATGGGACAAAATAACCTACCATCATGAATATTTCATGAGTTCTAACAATTAGTGCACAAGCACAATCACTCTGACATTTCACCTCAGATAAATAATTTCATTGTTGTTTAATCAACATTCATCCATCATAATTAGAGGTCACTTGAGTGCGAAAATGTCACAGTCTGGAAGGAACCTACTGCATATTTACAGAGATTTACTGCATCTCTAAACTTTTCAGGTTTACAGTGACCTTTTTTTACTTCCAAATAAGCTATGCTGTTTGTAGAATTATTTCAATTATGATTGTTCCTGAAGTTTTTTATTTAACAACAATCAAAATTGCATATGAATATAAATATTGAAAATGATATAAGTGAATCTTCTTGTGAGTGTTAGATCATTCATAAAGATTTCTGATTGATGTTTTTCCTATATCTATAAACTGAATTTTATCACTAAGCCTGTTTATCAGGTGTTGGCCCAAAGATTTTTTTTTTCAAACTTATCAGTGCTATTTCTTTTGCAGCTTTCACATGACAACAACTACAGTAAATTATGTTTAATCCAAAATCTTGCATTTAATGATGAAAACTTTTAATCCCTTTCAGTAAATACAACTGTTTAAATTAATGTCTAATCTGACAAAGTATCTGGATTAGACAAGCTTAATGTATTTCATCCCTTACCATGATCATGAAAGAGACACAATCCAATGATGTTGACAACAAGTCCAGCCCCGCCCACAATTAGAAGAAGCTTAGGATTGTTAACTTCTTCAAATTCCACCAATCGCTTCAGAGCTTCCACCAAGATGGAAAAACAAAGAGCCACAAGGAAGACTGCATTCACTAAAGCTCCAAGAACTTCAGCTCGGATCCAACCAAATGTATTTTTCTCAGTTTGCCATTTTGAAATCTGACAAAATGGAGAGAGAAATTTGGTATTTCTTCAGGAAGATGCACATTTACAGTTGTTTTATACATATGGAAACCAATACTTGAAAGTCAGACAATCCCAATCATTTTCTTCAAACTAGCTTTTTTTAAAGCAAGTTTAAATAACTTTTCACCATGTTCAAGATTTTAAACCGAGACACTTTGAAAAAAAAAAAATGTCTTAGAATGTTGTATAACTTCAAATTCTTTCAGTATTTACTTTAAATTACATATTTATTGCACCTATTAGTAAATTTCAAGCCTTAAAAAAAATCTTTCCATGTTATGAAAATACGACAACAGATATCTGCACAGTACAACAATACTAACCCTAACGGAGGCAAAGCCTACAATGAGTGCCACAACATCAGACAGCATGTGAAAAGAATCAGCTACCAAAGCAATGGAGTTTGTGATGTAGCCTACAATGATCTCCACCAGGAAGAATGAGGCTGTCATGGACAGCATGGTCAATAGACGACATGTTTTCCCTGAGTACCTAGCCATACTGCGGTGAAATGTTACAAAGGTTCAGTTCGTCTCACAATCAACTCCTGAAATGACAAATTAAAATTTATTAGAATTTCCCACAGCATTACATTTTTATCAGAACAGCGCAAATGTCACTGACCTTAAAGTATTATACATGTATACATATACCATTATATATTCCTATTTCATATAATACCATGCAATCTTGTACATGCTCAAGAATTATATTTTAAAATTGAATTATAGCTATCATTGTGTACATACTATTTGTATATTGTGATGTACAATCAAGTAGATTGCTGAACTGACCTTAAACATTAAATGAGTAGCCCCTGGTAATCTACAATAGCAGCTGGTACTTCATATTGGTTCATTTAATATTAACTTTTAGCTAATGCAGCATATTCACTTTACAAAATTACTAAAGAATAATAAATAATGATTTTTGGTCTTTGCAGGCTGTAGCAGCATTTTTCAGAGGGGGGTGGACAAAAAATGTGGGATGTGGGCTGTTGATGGCAGAAAACGAGGAAGCTCATTTGTCACAAGTTTATGAGAAAAAAGTTCGGTAAACAGATGTTGAGATATTTATTTTTTACATTCTATTACTTTGAAAGTAAGAAAAAAACCCACAATATTTAAAGATGTCAGTCTATTTAATTGTTGGTATCTGTATCGTGACTCCATCATGATATATAGTATGACCATACCCTGATACATATCGTATCATGAGGTACCTTATGATACTCAAATCTAGGAATAAACTTTCCCTTGTTTATCAGATTTCAGTACTGGGTAATTTTTTTTAAAGGTTAGTAAGTATAATAAACATTTAAGTGATATAACAAATGTAGGCCTCAAAGCTCAAAGTATAGAATGGTCTATTTAACTTGTTAGTGATGGCAATACAGATTTTATCCACACTCATAATGAAGCGTGAAAAGCCATTAATGAGCTTTCTAATTAGTTAACACATAACAAAGAATCCTCTTCTACCACTGTAATAATACATGTTACAGCATGATTCTTGAATAATTCTTAATATGCATTAATTAATCTTAATCATGTTAATTTTATTTCTTTTTTTTTTTTTTTAAATTTTCATTATCTAATCATGTTAATTAATATATTTATTTATTATAATTATCACTCTTATACATATTTTGAATCAAGTGCAAGCAAAACTTACTAGTAGTCATAGGTACATGTATGTCTGCTGTTTGTGTTTCTTTCAAATTTGTCAAGTTAAATTTATTAATATTCATGCCAGGAGCTGATTTTTTTCCCACACGAATTAAAAAAAAAACAACCTGGGCTTTGATCACGGGGCCTGGAAACCTCATGCGTAAATGATTAAGACTATACATCTATTTTGGTCTGTGTGCAACTTTTGAATTCATGATACACATGTGACTTAATCCCAAGGGCCATCTGAGTATCTGCACTTTAGATGGAAGTATCATGGGGAATTACTTAACCATCTGATGCATATATGTTTTGAAAGCAGTCACAAAAATTAATCATGAAATTTTAAGTGTTTTTTGAGTACCTATTTTGAAGAAACAATTTATCAAATCCTCTCCTTTTAATTTCACGCAAGGTGGGCGACAGATTCTTAAATATTTTTTATGACTATGAGTGTAAATAAATAACTAGTGTATCTAATGGATGTAATTATTATGAAAACATAATATTAAGAAATATTCACTTTAACATGTTGAACATTATGAATTGTCATTTGAACACCTCCAATTAATATACACTTTCGATCCCTTACTTCTTTCAACCCCCCCATCCCCCCTACAGGATTGTCCGTAAGTCCCAGGGGTTAAGGAATTTCCCTGTGTATAATGACATAATCCCCCCATTATTCTGGTATTCCCCCTCAACCCCCTGTTAGGGGAGGAACCCCAGACTCCCTTCTACTTTTTTAATATCCACTGCTATTTCAATCTTTAGGGACATTACCCTGGGCTTTTTTAAATTTCTTTAATAAAACACAAAAACAATCAATGAAAAGACCAAAAAAAAAAATAAAAAAAATTTAAACAATCATTTAATATTAAAAAAAACCCCCTCACTCTCCCTTATCTTTTCTCTTATTTCTTTGTAAATATTCCACTTTAAGTGTCATAGTTTCATGGTCTGTAAATTTCAATGAACTCTTAGATGTCTAATATTTCAAAAAAAAAGAGAAGAAATGAATATCAAGACCTGCTGACCACAGCAAACAATGTTCAATTGAAAACTGGTTTGCTAGTGTCATTGTCCTTCCTCACTTTGGCATGGTGGAGAGGAAGGAAACGCAAATATTGTTTTCCTTCCTTTCCAAATTAAGAAAGGTCATGAACTGGTAATTCTAATTTTCAATCACAATTTCTTCATAAAATAAGCATTTCAAGTCTCTGTTTTTTTAAACCCAATGGCATTAAGCATATAATGAAATAAACATCAACATTGGTTAAAAACTGTGTTGTATAAGGGGATATAAAAATCATTTAAGTTTACTAAGTAAAATGGCATGAAAGTAGTAAATAATGCTCAAACATCCTGAATTATCTCATTCTCTGCTAAAGGGTGATGGACAAATTTTGAATTTTCTTATGAACATCACGATTAACTGAGCATTCCTTGGAATCAAAAAGAAATTGTGGATGGCACTACTATTTTAGTGGATGTGGAACTGTAAAACTGGTTGGACATGCCTAAGTATAGGAGTTTGTCTCTTGTTACAGGTACATATATATTATCTTTATCATCTTATATCTAAATTTAATTTAAATTGGAATAATTAAGGTTTAATACACTTCTCTCAAGTAAATTGACAATAATGGAGGATAGAGAAGACAGTTCAATGAATTTTTTGCCCTAGTTGGTAAAAGGTATAATGCAAATTTCCCAAGTAAATTAAGTGCCCGAACAGTTTTTAATCTTGGGCCATCCTGTCTTAATCTTGGGCCGACATATGTCAATAATTTTGGGCCAAGCTGTCTTGGCCAAAGTGTCACTGGGCCTTAACGTCCATGGGCTGAGTTGTCTTACATTCTGGGTATGAATATATACAAATGCAAATGTGACACTTAACGTGCAATAATTAGATGTAACAAATTCAGATATAAAGAAATAAATTTACAGCGTAGGATTCCTTTTTAATTTAAATCATATACCGAAACTACTACTTAATACACGTGTAACTAATTTCGAATATCACTATTAAACTAAAAAATACTTCTTTAATCTATGTCGTTTCTGATGAAAACAAGTAATATTTTAAGAATCAATAAAGTTGAAAATATTCATACTTACCAAACCTTCCCAATCCAATTTTCAGAATAAATCTGAAATGTCAAGAGTAGTAAAAACCTTTTATAAAATGACTTTAAATTTGCACACAACACCTTTTGTGTGTCTCGGGATACCAGAAACATCGAATAGAAATACTTAATATGCACGCGGCACTCTAAACATGTTAAATACAGGACTGTGTGCAAACCCATCGATAAAACTTCTCCTCCTCTACCAGAAGATAACAAAAAATGAAGATCTACATAACAAGCTGATGACACTTGCGATAAACACTAAGAATTTTAAATTCTAAGGAAACCGGCGTTTGTACCTGGTATCATGCTGTACATGTACTTAAATGTACTGGCGCACCATGCGCACTACGTTGACAAGAGAAATCAGGCTGAAGTGAAGGTGAAGGTCATACAATAGCGCCTATTTCATAAAGTTTCATTGTGTTTAGAGTAGGATTTTAACTAAATTTAAGTCATGTTTAGTATATAGTGACTACAGTAACACAAATATGCAATATTCTGACCATTTAATTGCGTTGGATAACAATTTATCATGAGAAACATAAACAATGAGAGACTCACCAATATCACCAACTCGATCGTATACTGTTTCGATTTCAAATTATGAAGGATGTAAAACAAAACATAAGTACTATTATTAGATTCTTAAAGCATTTATGTCACTAATAATTTTTTTCTTATGCTACCATTATTTATTATGAACAAAACATTACACTTAAATATTCAGATTTTTATAAGAATAAATGATGAATGTTTTATCTAATCTCATCGACAATTTGGCGGGAACAGACAGTGTTTGGAGAAATGTTAGAAAATGCGTACATCACTGGACAGCGTTAATATTGAATTAGCTAGGTTCAAGTATTTTTAAATTTAATGTTTTTGTTTGTATATCCACTTTTTAATTATGTGTGAATGTATTCAAGTTAAGTATTATTTATATGGTAAATGTATGAATAGACGACCTTCACATTTACAAAATTTATTTCCCTTTGCGGGGTCAATCTGGGGTCAATCGGCGTAATACACATTTTCCTTCTATATCATTACCAACTTTATGGGGCAGTTTCTTACACATGAAATCTGTGTGAATATGTTACGTTTTTTTTTAGTGTTGCTCCATACTATTGCAATACAGGAAAGGATCAAAATCAAAATAAAAAAATTATCGTCATTTTCATATTACAATGTAAATACATGGGACAGCTAGACAGATTTAATATATATTATTGTAAAAATATTCAATCTAAATGGCATCTTGGAAAATTGATAAACCTTTAACTAAAAAAAAATGATATGGACAATCTGTTTTCCCACTAAATTTCCAGGGGGGGGGATAAAAGTACTGAAAAAAATATCGGTAAGGGAAAGGGTAATTTTGATAGGTGGTTATAGTACATCAAAAAAGTAAATTAATATTGTGAGCATGGTGTTTGAAATTTTGCCTGTTGATTTTCTTCCTAGGGTTAGACACTAATTTATCTTGTAGAGTAAGCAAAAGGTCCACTTATTAATAAGCAAATTTCTGATGGACCTCAGAATTTTTCATATACTGTATACTTCACTGCATTTTAGAAAAAAGAAATTGTGCATGATCAGGGGTTTTTTTAGGGGTCATAGGGGGCCTGTAATAGGCCCCATTCCCAATGGTAAAAAGTGTGTGTTTTTCCCAATTTCATCAAAGAAAATTCCCAAAAGATGATTTGAAGCAAGAAATTAAAGTCAAATAATTCTAAATATTATAGAAAGAATAGCAATTACAAGTTAAACTGATTTTCAATAAGATTTTAAATATTGAATGTAAATAAGTCAGTAAATGCCTTGCAGGTAAAGAAATGGCTCCTATTTGAATTTTTTGTAGAAAAATGTGAATTATTATATTTTCCCAATTTTAACTAAATGTCGCTAATTTTTCCCCAAATGGAAAGGCCTAGGCCCTTGATTTTAAGACCTAAAAAAAAACCCTGGCATGTGAAAGGGTTAGGTAAATTTTGCATTTAGCAGTATGGATATAAAATCTGAAAAAGTTTGGTCAAAATTTTGCTTGGCAGTGTGTCGCTATAAAAATAAATTGTTGAAAGGTTCATCTCATATCTGTGCATGTTGAGATCATCATGTATGCATTGTATATTTTCTATTTCAAGTTGGCTACTATCTTCAGTTATAAAATTCATTCAGATTTGTCATTCAATCCACAATATGACCAACAATGAATGATCTTGACATGGGTTATGGAATCAAAAGCATTTTCACACATCAATTTGCGGAATCTGAATATAGCAATGGGTTTTCGTTTAATTTGTATCAGTTGTGATAACTGTTGTGTTCCATCTTTTTCTGAGGGTCGTCATCAGTGAGTAATTGGTTACTGGTCAAAATGTCGGAGTATTAAATACGAAAACCAATACAGTAACTTAAGTACTTGGAGAAAAATCAAAACCATGTAATATTGTCTTTTGTAGAACCTGTAACTGTTAATTCTGCTCATTTGACTATAGAAAAGGGAAGACTATTCAGTTTAAAAAAGACGGGGAGTTATCAATGCTGTTTTAACAACAGGTAAACGGTACATTTTCCGCTTTTGAAAAAAAAAATTGTGGAAATTTTCCTTTTCTTTATGGAAAATATTCTGAACATTCATGTAGCATTTAAAATATGTTTGATAATTCTAGAAATGCCCCCCAGATTAGCTCTCAAAATGCAAATTCTAGCATAGGGTTGGATACCGGTGCTCGGTACCAATACCGTACCGAATAGTTACTTTAAAAATACCGGTAAAATACCGTTTCATTTAATACCGGTACTTGTAACGGTATTCCTTAATCTTATAAACATTTTAATACATTCAATATGATTTAAAAAAAAACAATTCCAGACTTGGTAAAATTGAATTCTCCGCGCATTGAAAGGCTAGGCTAATTAAAGAAATGGATGCTTGGTACCATTCTTGCTTTCGACTGTCGATATTCGAGGTAAATTAATACGTATATTTAAAAAACAAATTAAAATACATTCACATTAATCGTGTTTTAGATTTATTAATAAAAACTGATAATAAATGTAAATTAAAAGGGCAAAAAATATGATGTGCATCTCTATCCATTTTCTAATGCGTCGTCGTTTAGAGCGACCAAACAAAATAGGTCCTGGCAATCCATTGAATCGGTGAGCCCATTTGTGATTATGTATCCATTCAAATTAATTTGTTTGAGATTCAGTTTATTTGTTTAGTTCATCATTTATTAAAAAGTTAAAATATAAACATAGTTTATAAGCTCATTATTTAGATCATAACATTGAAGGATTGGTGATTGGTGAAAACACATTTGTTTTAAAATGAACCATTTCTCATTCATCAAGGTAAAGTACCGTATCGTTAAAAAATACCGTATCGTTTCAAAAATACCGGTATGGTATCGTACCGTTTCATCCTTAACGGTATCCAACCCTATTCTAGCAACATTTATCAGAAAATGCTCCTGACTTCCAAAGTATATTCAAATATCCAGCACTGATGTCGAAATTTTCCCCCCTTTATGTGAAAATGGTAAGCAAAATAGCTAGATAAATCCCTGAAAGAACAGAAGAAGAAGGAAAGCTCATGCAATATTTCTCAAGTACTTGGAGAAAAGTTAAAATCATGCAATACAGTCTTTTGTAATTGTAGAACCTGTAATTGTTTATTCTGCTCACCATTGGAATAGAGAAAAGAGAAGACAACCCAGTATGACAAAGAACAGAAGAAGAAGCAAAGCTCCTGTACAAAGTAATGCATCATCAACAGACACAAATGCTGATCCCCAAAAACCAGGACTTTCAGGAAAAAAGGTGGAGGAAGTTTTCAACATGTCTCCCATTTCATTATGTCAGTCAGTCCTTAGACAACAGTTGACAAAAGGACTACCTTCTCAAAGACATACCAACAATGAATGTCCTTCCATTAAAGGATTTCAACAAGAACAAAGGTAAGTTTGTACTGTACATACTTCAATAGGACAACTTATTTTTAGTATGTGTGAGTTGAATTTTACAGATGCATGTTTGATATTTTGGGCTATTCCAGTAAAAATTGGAGATGCCAATGGGTTATTCCATTAAAACATACCTGGGTACGACAGATTAAAAAAAAAAAATCTAATATGGGTGGAGGTTGTTAGTGAGGAATCAAATTAGAACTCCCAGTATCAAGAATTCTGCCACAAAAATTATTCACTAACTAATTCCTCTCTACTTCTTTCAGTCACTGATACATTTTTAGCTCATCTTAGCCAAAGGCTTAAGTGAGCTTTTCTGACTGAGGGGTGTCCAGAGTCCATCTATTGTGTTTTGTCTGTAAACTGTTCATTTTTTGACTTCTTCTCAAGAACCACTGGGCGAATATCATCCAAACTAGCTACAAAGCATCCTTGGATGAAGGGGAGTCAAGTTTGCTCAAATGGAATGCCATATATCCTCTTTCAAGGGGAGATAATTAATAAAGTGGATTTATTTGGTAATGGCTAGCTGCAATAATGTAGCCCTCTCCGATTTTTTTAATCTGATATTTTCAGGAGAGGGCTACAATTCCACTGCATCTCCGTAATGGTGCAAATATATTTTTTAGATACGGGCGACTGCAGGCAAAATAAATTGTTTTTGCATTCAACTTACTTCCAATGAGACGGAATTTTTATTCACTATCAACATCATAGCCCTTTATACGCGAAAAACCAAGTAAAATAAATCTGCGTGTTTACCAGTCGTTCTCCTCAGCAGCCATGACAGTTCTCGCGTGATGCACTGAGACTTGCGCTTGAAATTTAGAATCACTTGATATAGTAAATGTCGGTGTTGATAAATGTTTGTGTTGTATGATATCACTAAACATCGATAAATAAAAGCATTCCATTGGATATTTTTTCATAAACAGTGATATTTATGCTTAAAATAAGGGAAATCCTCAACTATCCGCTCCCCTAGATCCCGTATTCTCATTGGTTGTCCCAAAATAAAATCGATCAAGGTCAGTAAACATGGCGGATAAATTCAAGTTGTGATGTTGACATACACGAAAAATAACTGATATACGGATTGTTCTGTATATTTTTGGATCAATTCTTGTCTTGCAATAACTACATTTTATGAGTTCAGGTAACATATGTTAATAAAATACCCACTTACAAATAATTTGAGCCGAAATCTGTGCGGTAGTGAATCACTCCTGCACTTGCACCATTACGGAGATCCTAAGGAGTTGTAGCCCTCTCCCAAAAAAAAAAAAAAAAAAAAAAAAAAAATCGGAGAGGGCTACATTATTGCAGCTAGTAATGGCCAATATCTGCCCCCTCCAACCCCACCCCCCTTCCCAAATAAAACTTTGGTCAGAAATCTTAAATTATGTTCTAAGTCAGGAGGACATATGCAGACTTCAAAACATTAATCATTTCCATTTTCATCCGTTGTGATGTGATAAGTTAAATACAACATAAAAAAATAATGCAAAGAAGATGGGTGAACATGAGGAGCGAAAAGCCTATAGTGTGACAAACATGAAGGTGAAAAATTAAATTTTAATTATATCAAAAATTTCCTCGATATTTCATCTAACATTAAAATATACTTTAAGTAAAATCTCTACAAATTGCAAAAATCTCACAAAATTTGAAATTATTTGCTTATGAAATATTATACACACAGTAAAGAGGGCAAAAAGAGTCATTTTCTCACACTATAACACAGTTTTTCGTTGTGAGTGGGTCATCGCTCCATTTTTTTGAAAGTTAATCCTCAAAGTTTGCATAAAAATATACATTTTTTGGTTTCCAAAAACATGGAGCAATGACCCACTATACATTAAAAATATACTTTTATGACATAGCATTCGCATCTTTTCGAGAAATACTTGAAGTCCTTTAAGTCAGGGGTCATATCACAAACATGATTTAAATGCCACTATTCATCAGGACTTGCGTAGTCTAGTGGTTAGCGTGCTACATGTAGTCTCGAAAGAAAATGATACTCAGGATTTTTATTGCTCGAGTTTGAACCCCACGAATACCACATTATTTTTTTAATAAAAGAATAATTTTTTCCGAGAAAATTTTCCTCAGAAAAGTTTTGTTTATCATGATTTCATAACTTTCAATAATGAGAACTTTACTCTATATACTGAATTCACAAACTGAACATGATTTTTATATATCTGAAGCTATAGGCTTTCTGCACGATATGTTCACCCATCTCCTTCAACATTTCACTGATTTTGGAAGAAAAATAGTGTATTTTACATATCCAAAATTTGATTGGAAAATATTGATCACAGGTCTGCTCAGACTCCATCTTTTTTATAAAACGTAAAGAATATTGACATCGATAAACTATGTGATAATAGTTTCTGAGCAAGTGTGCACTCTATAAAAACTATAAAGTCAAAATTGAACAAAATTTGTGGGTTTTCTCTCTTTTAAAAAGAACAGGAAAGCTTATTATTATACCTCATAATAATTATTTTATACAACACGTTATCTGATTGGTTCTAGATTATCTTGTGACAGGGCCATAAAACTTCATATTTCCCTGTCGTTGTCATGCTTTTCATCATATTCAACTTTTCGGAGACCTAGTACAAATTCGCACAATAGTTATCGTTCGTTGAACGAAAACACGCGAGAGTAGTAGACTTCACAATAGCCTGGGTCACGTCACAAAATTGCTGATGGACTTCTGTAAATTGTTAAAATTGAAAGTGAATTTAAGAGCGGTGCCGAATTTGAAAGTTTATGTTTATTTTTAAAGTTTCTGCTTGTTTCGGTGTAATAAACAATTTATTGCATGAATGTTCGGGAAACATGAAGATTTATTCAGCCAAGAAATAAGGTAATAGATGTATAATAGTTTATGGTGTCAAGGAGACAAAAATCCTAATATTTTTTCCCAATGAATAATGGAATTTATTACTTCAGATTTGTTTTATAAAGGATAACTGCACTTATCGCCTGTTTTTGGGTCTTTTTTGGTTGCTTCTGTTGCTTTTACATCCAAACCTTATCTCACTTTAGTGTGTTTATGAAAGAATACTGTTGATTTGGAATCGCATTTGAATTTTAAAATGACTTTAGACTGTGATGCAATAAAATGATTCGATGTTTTTTGTCCTTACTGTTTTCCAAATATAGTGAATTTACACCTACCTGCCCTTGATTGAACATTAGATATGCATGAGAGGTGGAGCTAACATTGTAAGAATGGCTCTAAAATTAGACTTGATAAATAACAATGGCATGTTTAGAAAAGCGAACGTGATCACTCTTTCCAATCTCCCTCTCCATTCTGTATGGCACAAATACACTTCTGAAACGAAATTAACAATGTAAGCACGTCAATGTAATTAAAGCAGATTTTATATCAATGCCAGATGACTTGACGTGTTCGAACACAAGGTCCTAGTTTGCACAAAACATGCTACCTTGCCAGTCACGTGATGGAATTTAGTATTCACAAAGTTACCTGAGGTAAGAAATTACCTGGTGAATTATAATATTCAACATGTCACAGTCCTTGGTTACAATACAGAGAGCGAATGTAAGAAGAAACAGTTTTTTCTCTTTTTAACCATGAGCGCATGTTTGTCTATTAATCTCCTTTTGACACATTATTATTTATGCAAATATACAACTACTGTTAAACGTAGAACAATAGATAAACATGCACTGACTATGTATAAAGTCAGTATAAAAGTGGGCGTCCTCATTATCGAACGGAGATTTAAGAAATTGTGATGACCCCTGCCTTTGAAAACAGATTTGAACTTCGTAAATACACACTTTTGTTAAACGTAATTACATAAAGTTGTAGATTGGATGTTGACCATTCTAGCAATGAAAAGAAAAATGCTTGTCTTGAAAGTTTATTTTGTCGCAAATTCCGCATGTCCTTAAGTGCAGTTATCCTTTGAATGTGCACATTTCAAGAGATTTTCAAAATTTGACTTTTATTGGGGAAGGGATATCCTTTAACCATTTATAGTTCATTAATGGCATCTTTCAAAATTCCTTCTCAAGAACCACTGGCCCAGAAAAAATTTACATGAAAGCTTCATCACATAGTGTAGACTCAAGTTTTTCAAATCAAATCATGACCTATGAAGGTATAAAGGGGCCACAATGGAAGATCAAAGTTTTACAACAGGGCTCAACATTAACTTTGAAATAAACTAGACCAGTCGGACTAGTACATGAAAATTCTCTTAGACCTGACCTCAATTTCACTAGACCAGGCCCCAAGACGATAAACTGAGAACAGACTTCAGTCAAAATTTCAAAGCAATTTAACTTATGAAATAATTTTGATAATGAAACAAAATTTTCATCATATATTTCAATTTAAATGTTATATAAAATTGCAAAATTTTAAGCAAATACATGAAATAAAACTCAAGATATTAAAAATCAAAATTTTGACTTAAGTCTATTCTCATTTTATGGTCTTGGGGCCAAATATATGTGGTTAACTGAATTAATTAGGGCCCCGCTCTGCGGGCGCCCTATAGTGATCAGTCTGTCCGTCCATCCGAGATCTCTTGTCCGGAGCATATCTTCTCTCGCCTTGGCCCAATCTGGCTCATACTTCACCCACAGAGTGTCTTTGGGTAAAGAGTGTGCAGTGACCTTGAACCATGTTTCTAGGTCTAAGGTCAAGGTCATAGAAGAATTATATGAAAAATCCTTGTCCGGAGCATATCTTCTCTCCTTTTGGTCCAATGTGACTCGTACTTCACTCACAGAGTGCCACTGGTCAATGGATGTGCAGTGACCTTGAACGAAGTTTCTAGGTCAAGGGTCAAGGTCAAAAATAGCCTCTCTGTTTAAATTCTTATCCGGAGCATATTTTCTCTCTCCTTGGCCCAATCTGGCTCACAGTTCACCCACAGAGTGCCTTTGGGTAAAGAGTGTGCAGTGACCTTGAACCATGTTTCTAGGTCTAAGGTCAAGGTCATAGAAGAATTATATGAAAAATCCTTGTCCGGAGCATATCTTCTCTCCTTTTGGTCCAATGTGGCTCATACTTCACTCTCAGAGTACCACTGGTCAATGGATGTGCAGTGACCTTGAACAAAGTTTCTAGGTCAAGGGTCAAGGTCAAAAATAGCCTCTCTGTTTAAAATCTTTGTTCAGTGCATGGGTTCTTTCTCTTAAGTCCAGTCAGCCTCAAACTTTACCAACTGACTAAGGGTACAGAACATTTGTGATTTTCCTTCCATATTTTGATATATATGCAACAGTTTTCATAGAGGATATGCAACATTTGTGATTTTTGTGCCGCTTTTTGATAGAGGGTATGGAGCACTCATGATTTTCGTGCCATTTTTAGCTCACCTGAGCCGAAGGCTCAAGTGAGCTTTTCTGATCGAATTTTGTCCGTTGTCTGTCGTCGTTGTTGTTGTCATTGGCGTCGTTGTCGTAAACTTTTCACATTTTCATCTTCTTCTCTAGAACTACTGGGCCAATTTCAACCAAACTTGGCACAGAGTATTCTTGGGGGAAGGGGATTCAAGTTTGTTCAAATGAAGGGCCACGCCCTCTTTCAAGGGGAGATGATAAAGAATTAGTGAAAAATTATAAGCATCTTTAAAAAATCTTCTTCTCAAGAACCACAGGGCCAAGAAAGATGAAACTCATGTGGAAGCATCCTCAGGTAGTGTAGATTCAAGTTTGTTCAAATCATGACCCCTGAGGGTAGGGCGGGGCCACAATGGAGGATCAAAGTTTTACATAGAAATATAAAGGAAAAACCTTTAAAAATCTTCTTCTCAAGAAAAGCAAAGCCATGATGAGTCATTTTTATATGGAAGCATCCTCAGGTAGTGTAGATTCAAGTTTGTTCAAATCATGACCCCCGGGGGTAGGACGGGGCCACAATGAAGGATCAAAGTTTTACATAGAAATATATAGGAAAAACCTTTAAAAAATCTTCTTCTCAAGAACAGCAAAGCCATGATGAGTCATAGTTATATGGAAGCATCCTCAGGTAGTGTAGATTCAAGTTTGTTCAAATCATGACCCCTGGGGGTAGCACGGGGCCACAATGGGGGATCGAAAATTTTACATAGGAACATATAGGAAAATATCTCCTTCTCAAGAACTGAAAATCAAGTTTAGTCATTTTGATATGATAGCATCCTCAGGTAGTGTAAATTCAATTTTGTTCAAATAATGACCCCCGGGGGTAGGGTGGGGTCCAATGGGGGGTAGAAAGTTTTACATAAGAACATATAGAAAAAATATTTCTTCTCAAGAACAGAAAAGCTATGTTTAGTCATATTGATATGGAAGCATCCTCAGGTAGTGTAGATTCAAGTTTGTTCAAACGATGACCCCCTTGGATAGGGAGGAGCCACAATGGGGATCAAATTTTAACAAAGGAATATATGAGAAAAATTTTAAAAATCTTCTCAAGTACAACAAAGCCAGTTGTTATATTGACATGGAAGCATCATCAGGTAGTTTAAAATTCATCTTATTCACAGGTATAGCAAAGGCATGATTAGTCCTATTGATATGGAAGCATCCTCAGGTAGTGTAGATTCAGTTTTGTTCGAATCATGACCACCAGGGGTAGGGTGGGGCCGCAATAGGCAAACAAAGTTTTATATAGAAATATATAGGGGAAAATGCTGCTGAAGAACAGCAGGGCCATAGTGATTCAGGTGAGTGTTGTTGTCCATGGGCCTTTTGTGAGGGAATTGGCCCTCTTCAAAATATCTAGAATAGATTCATCTCTGTAGTGTGGATTTTGAGCAAATTCATAAATACAGTTATAAATGATTTGATATTCATTGAATTTACATTGAAATTTAGTGAAGATATTCATATTTGTTAAATACAGTAAAGAATTTTGTGACATAATTTTTTTTGAATATGCACATCTCATTGCTTCTAAAATGAAGTTTGAATATGATCTTGACCTCCCCTGAAACTAAAGGTGCACATTTCTCTATAGTTCTAGTTAATTATTATCTCGAATGTTTAGAGTGTCATTTGACCTACAGTGTACTTGTATAGTTGTTTATTTATCAATTATAGACAGCTGTTGGATCTTTTGAAAAGAACAGCAACATCAGGAGAAAGTAACTCTGTATTGGTGATAGGACCCAGGGGGAGTGGAAAAACAACAGTAAGCATTTGTGAGCTAACTTCAATAACCTCATGGCATCGCAAAGATGGCATGAAACCAACAGAGTCATTAAAGATACCTACGGTGTATTTCTAAGGTAGCTACGGTGTATTTCTAAGATACCTACGGTGCATTTCTAAGATAACTTCGGTGTATTTCTAAGATAACTATGATGTATTTCTGAGATACCTGCGGTGTATTTCTTAGTTATGAGGAAAAAACTTGGATTATTTACTTTTGGATGAGCAAGAGATTTTGAGGTCATTATTTGCTTTACACAGAGATAAAAAAAGAGAAAAATGCATGTATGGAAGAAATAGAATCTTTGGGAATTAGAGTTTGAAACAATTATAATAATGGAATATAACCATATTCTATGTGCAATGTGAAAAAGTAAACCTTTTTTTACTTTCTCCGCAGCACAATATATAGTGAAACCTGTCTAGTCTGACATGTACTGGGAGACAAATACTATGTCCAAAATGAAAGGATGTTGGATTAGACATTGCAAAGAACCTGGAAATGAATAGAAATGGGGATGAAAATGAATGTCACAATTCACAGTGAAAAGTATTGCACAGCTGTCGGATTAGATGGTTTTCACTGTAATTTTCTTCTGCTCGTATATAAACCTTATCCTAAGTACAGTAAAACATGCTTATAACAAAGTGCCAGGGACAAACAACTTTGCTTCGTTATAAGTGTAATTTGTTATATCACTTAAAGAGCCATAGTGCATTAGATAGGCTTTTTCGCCTACTTCAGTAGTGATTTCTTAAACACCTATTTTAACCAAAATGTTGTCATACAATCTTAGTTTATACATGTGTAAATTCAAATTATACTATAATGAAATGTAAATGTTAAAAGTTCCCTTACTATGAATATGAAAACCATCGGGTATGTATGGAGTATGGACTAGTGTAATTTTCTAAGCATTTTGTCATAATTAGAGTAATGAACATGTGAAATGATTGTTTATATATGACGTAGCTGGACCTATGAAAATATACCACTCGTCCACAAATGTTTATATATGACGTAGCTGGACCTATGAAAATATACCACTCGTCCACAAATGACATTACATAGGTTGATCTTGAAGAGCAAGGCAGCTATGGCTCTTTATTTTAAAGTTACAGGAAATGAAAATCACTTTGCTGTAAGCGTCAAATCATTATGAATGTGTTTGCTATAATGTTTTGCTGTAGATGAATTTTTAAACAAAATTTAAACTCAAATACTGTAACTGCATTATTTTATATCATATAAAAGATAATTGTAGTTTTATAGTTTATTTTTTAACTTGCTCAATAGATTTATTTGAGCTGTTTTAAAATTTTCTCATGCTTTTCACAGATAACCGTCGGTATCTCAGCATTCTCTATCTCATTTCATCCGTGAGAAACATATATTGCGTTAATTTCAATGCAGGTCATCAAGAATGTCATTGCCGAGCTTTTGCTAAATGATCATATCAGAGAAAATCTGCTTCAAGTGCATCTAAATGGTACGTATGATGTTAAGGAATGTTTTTAAGTTTAGTGTGAGTTATTGGTGTGTAAATCACAAAGACTTGCATGTAGGTATATTTTTCGTGAAGCACTCTTTTTCATGAAAAATGTGCCTGCGTGCAAGTCTTTGTGATTTACACACCAATAACTCACACAAAACTTAAAAACATTCCTTATATTTACATTTTATACAGGTGACTCTAGATCTCTTGAACTTCAAGGGACCGTAAGAAAAGTTCGAGAGATCGGGGGGTTCGAGAGATAGAAAGTGAATAAAATCCGGAATTTTCAATTCCGATCATCATTGTTCTACTGTTATGCATACCGGAAGTACATATTGATAATGTCATTACACGTTTTCATTCGTATTTCACAGGTAATTCACTTGATTTCAACAACAATGATCGTGTTTTGAGAAAATAAAATGATTAATTTAAGTTTCAATATTTATTTGTTCTCATTTCATGAAACCTGAATAGCAATTGTCGATTTTGCTAACCCCCGGGTGCGGGCTTGATCGGTCCTTCACAAGATTGCTCGCAATCAGTATACAATTCTTGAGATAGGATTTCTTGTGCAATGTTTGCCAAACTGGGATTGTGTAGACCTTAATAATATTAAAGTTCATAATCTATGGAAAATTACTGACAGGTTCCTAAATTCCTAAAAATTATCGTCTCGTCCAGTCAAAATAAGTTGTGAAGCGATTTGTTTATAATTTACCATTTAACCAATTAATTATATCAACACTCGGACGACTCACAGGTGAAGTATCATCTATATAAACACCCAATTAACACGTCCATCCCAGCCCCAGGCGTTCACTTTTATCCAGATAAGTCCAAGCTGAATTAATTTTATGCTTGATTGACATGTATACATGCGCAATCAAAACTTCGAGAGATAGAGAGTAAAAAACAATGAAAAATGTGTAACAGGACCCAGGTCTTGGTTCGAAAGATAGAGAACTTCGAGAGATCGGGAGTTCGAGAGATCAGGAGTAAATTTGCTTAGTTATATAGAGGGAAAAAACGGGACCGGTGGTTCACTTCGAGAGATCAAGAACTTCGAGAGATCGGAGTTGGAGCCATCGAGAGTCACCTGTATGTTCAGAAGCTTAAAAAATATACTCAATGTTTCGCTGCCCTATATTGTTACATTTTTATTAACGTCTCTGTAGCTCATTGTGACGTCACTTTAGTAGGGCTGTGCGGTGCACCAAAAATTTCGATGCACCGCGGTTCATACTGTTCGATTCGGTGCACCGATCCAAAATTCCGGAATTCGGTTCGGTTCAGTTCAAAATTTACATAACACGTATAAACAAAAATGGCCGCCAAATGGAGATCGGAAGTGTTTGTTTTCATGATTTTAATACTCCTTATAATGATTGTGCCAGTTTGAAGTCAGTGATTTAGTTTTTTTTAATTCCACAAATGTCTTTTCCTTTTACAATAGAGGTTAGTTTACATTGGTGTGGGCTAGTAAATAGACCGACGGACTAGTGAAAAAGTAGCAGGTATTTTCCAAGTTTTGCTTTTAAAACCCAAATCAATTTTAAAAAAAAATCAAAGAAATGAGGTTCTCTTGTTCATAAATCTCATCTATCTAATTCTTTTAGCGCTTCTACATTATTTATTTCTAAAGACCATGAAAAGGATCGTCTTTTTTTTTTACTTATCCGAATTTCCTCCATCCCGATTTTATAGATTTTATGGAAATTACATGAAGGTATCACATTAGTTGATTAAATTATTTCTAACTACTCAACTCGTTCACTGAAGAGTAAATATTTACAAGGGTTATAAAAATAAATTAACATTGTATTTGATAATTTGAATAAAAAAAAAATAAATCACTAGCTTTTACTTCATTTTGGAAGAGGAAGTCCAATGATCAGAAAAAAATGTACACTACTATGTTACAAGGTATCCAAAACATGATTGTTCATTCTATTAAATTCTGCATTAAATAATTTCATTGATTATTTATTTATTAATGACTCAGAAGAAAATGCAAATAAAGAAATAAGCAGAAGAAAAATGAAAAGAAGAGTAATTCATTATGAAATGTAGATGGAATAAAATAATACAACAAAAGTTTCAAATTTTATTATGTTTTTGGGCTAGTAGAAATTTTACTTTTGCCAGTAAAAATATCAAATCCACTAGCCCCACTTGTTAGTGTCTCAAAAAAGTTTTTGTGAGGACTGAAGTAAAGGAGTTTAATCAGATTATAAAGCAGAGATTATTATTTTTCATTAATGATGAGAAATATTTGGACTGTTTAAGGTTAAATCGAACCGAATCGAAAAAAACCGAACCGTATCATTCTGAACCGAAACCGAACCGAATCGATTGAACCCTGAATCGTCCCAGCCCTACACTTTAGCGCGAGTTTCTCCGTGTATATTTCTACGTGCGAGTACACACAAAAATGGCTTTCAAATCGATTTCACAGTTGGCTTAATAGAAAAACAGAGCAGATGTAAATATTTGCTTGTAAGTTTGTAAGCACAAGAAGCTCAAAGGGGCTAATTGTATTCGGCGCGTCGGCGTGCCAGCGCGTCCATCTCAACCCGATATCACAAAAGTATTTTCTCCCTGCATTAAAACACTCAAATGACATCGATTTTCTTTATAATTTAAGCATTATCGGTTATATTCAAGTCGACAGCCCGAGCCCGATTGTATTTTTTTGTTGGGTGGATCCAGAAATTTTTCCCTAGGAGGTGTTGGCTCAAATCGCAAGGGGAAGAGGTCCGAGGCAAAGCTTTAGTAATTTTACTATATCAGTTCAAATAAATTTGAATTTTCCAGGGATCCGGATCCCATTTGATCCATGCATGCCTTACCACAATTTGTGCTAGAGTAATCCGAAATATACCCCAATTTTTTGAGTTGGCCTATACTTTCGATTTCTCTCTTTCTCTCTCTCTCTCTCTCTCTCTCTCTCTCCAAACATTAACTATATACATGTATAGCATTTAAAAATATTTACTGCTTTGGTTTTTATAAATTTCCTTTATGTATAACAAAAATTTACCAGTATTACGTAATGACCCTAGACATTAACTATATACATGTATAGCATTTAAAAATATTTAGTGCTTTGGTTTTTATAAATTTTCTTTATGTATAACAAAAATTTACCGGTATTACGTAATGACCCTAGACTCTAGAGTTTAACCCCCTTTTTAGAGACTTGATTATCATGGCAATAAGCTGCAAAACATTGGTATCAGTGTTTGACAAATATTCCTTGTTATGTATTAAAATATTACTACTACTAAAAATTAGCTTGTTCTTTATTTGAGCAGGGGGAGTAACTTTAGTTACAGATACATAAAGTCCTGCCTTCCCATATTGTAGTCTTCTCAACCACTTATCTCATTACAAATCCAATCATATAAAATACATCTACAATGGTTCCATCAACATTCCTTAAACATTAATTTTTGTTTTTTGTTTTTTTTTTTGTTTTTTTTGTTTTTTTTCTGTTTGTTTTGCAGAGTGAAAATTAAAATAGAATTTGATGGTCATTAAAGTAAGAAGCATATCAAAAAGTTTTATGATGACCTGTGTTTACGAAATACTGAATCATTCACTGATTGCAAAAAAATTGATGCCAATGAAAATTGATAAAACTAGTGTATTAATTAGTGGCCATGAATAAAAGAAACAACAGGCAGTTAAATAATGGTATCAGGTTCGTTCGCCCTATCTACCTGTTCGCATGAGTCCGTTCGCGCAGGGTCCGTTCGCCATTATTCTTGTTCGCCCTATATCTCGTTCGCCCGATTATATATACAGTATATACTATAGTAAATATCAACATTTATTATTAATTTTATTAAATATTTTACTTGGTGTTTTTTTTCAAATGTTGCTACAGTATTTTTTTTTATTAACCGTAATCTTAATGAAGTAATTCAAATTTGATATTTATGCTCTTTACATGCTTAATTGATTTAATTATACTTAATAATGTCACTGTAATTTAGGGGATCATACAATCTGCGTTATGTTCAATTAAAGGACTGAGATGTTAATTTCTGTTGGTCTGCTGGGTCTTTGATTAGTACAGGTATAAATTACCAGTATAGTGTGACCACATGCATTCGTCTGTTGTCTCCCGTGTGCAATTTATGTACCAATGTACATATAATTTATTTAAAAAATCCATTGGTTAATTATTCAACTTTCTGCAATATAAATAAGGCGAACGGACCCTGTGCAAACAAGTGATGTTGAAGCTTCAAAAACAAAATTCTATCTATGAAACTTTCTCTTTTTAGCCAAGCGCATTGCTCGTAGAGCAATAGCAGGTTTATGTTACGGTGTTCAACCGGAAATACCGCTTCCTCACCGCCAAATTAAATATGAGTAAGAATATAGTACGTATGCTCAACCACCTTTGAAGCAATACAAACACTTAATTAAACAAATTTAATTTAACTAAGAAATTCTCTAAAAAAAAAAAAAAAAAAAAAAAAAAGATTGATTATATACTTTCTCCCCTTTTCTTCAATAAATTATTTGTTTAAAAGATGCGATAGGTAATTTCATCAAGTCTGCCAGCTTCACATTCTATAGAATAAGTTTGTGTTACCAGGCTAACACTAATGCGGGGAGCACGTGACCCGATGCACACCTTTATGCAAAACTCCCCGCTGAGGACCCGTCTGTGTATAAACGTTTGACCTTGCTGCATCAATGTAAATTCAAACTGCATTTTATTTTATTTTATTTTTTAAACATTTTTTATTTATACTATATGTCATAAATATATTTTTGTGTTACATATTCTTCCAGTGTCTTGTTGTTATTCGTCTGTAATTACAATGTATGTTTCATGTAAAACGGACTTGTTCACTTCTCTGTAAATGAGCCCGGCTCTCTGTACTTCTAAGTACTTTGATTATTTATGATATCGAGCCCGATGCTAACAATATTGTATAAGCGATAATTTATTTTATAAACAAAATCTGTTGCGCGAGCGCGCCGACGCGCCGAATACAATTAGCCCTCAAAGGTGTAAGCATGCAAAATAACAGATTTTGTAGGTTTCATGCATTGTAGTGTGAAAATATGGTAAGTTATATTTAGAGTACTCTGTTACATGTATGTTTGTAAGGGATTTATTTTACAGAGAAGTGTGGCAGTGGAGTCATGATTCCTCTGGATAGATTAGATATGTTTACAGAAACTGAACAAATTAAGACAAAAATATTCGAGTTTTTAATTTCATAGCTTGGAAGTTATCATACAGTATATTGGAAGTTATTGTACTGCTAAGCTCCATCCCCTAGAAGTTACAGTATGTTGGAATTTTGCCAAAGGTTTTCTATCTGATTAAAAGTATGGCTAACATCAAAAGAAAAAGTACTGCACCATGACACATGTTATGCGCTTAAGATGTACATCATTGCTGACAATAGGGTTTGAAATTATATATATAATTCGCGGTTTATAAAGCGTAAACTGCTCCAACCCACTTTATACCATATAAAATGGGTAGCTATTGAATTCATTCCTTAATTCAAGTTGCCCACACAGTGATAAGAAAATAAATATGTGCATTCCAATTTTGTCCAGATGTTTTGTTTTTCTTTTGAATATTTGTAATCAGTTCAAGGCTTTAGAATAACAAATAATAAGCAATTCTACTGAAAGTGTTAAAGTAATTGTGACGGACATCATTTATGGGGTCAGTAAGCCAAAGGAACCAAAAATTACTGATGTTATATGTGTCTGAATAAAAATGTGCCATTTGCTCTATATCTTATTATTGAATAACTAGATCAATCTACAGTAACAGAGGAGTTCCACTTCAAATGTAGATAAGTCATGCATAATGTTAAAACCAATAGAAAAGTTCAACACAAACCTTATGAATAAAAAATGAATTTTTTTAATGCCCCGCCATAAAATGGCCGGGGGCATTTAGTATTACCCTGATCCGTCATTCTGTTATTCCATCATTCCGTCATCATTGACTTTCTGTTCATTATCTCGACAACAGTTGCACACTTTCAACTCAAATTTGATATTTGGATACGTCATAGGAATACGCAAGCGAAGTTCAAATTTGGTCATGGTCCGATGATTTTTGACAGAGTTATCCCTCTTGAACTTAGAAAAAATAAGAAATTTTCAGTTTCAGCTCTTTAACTTTTGTAAGGATGAAATTGCACATGCAGGTATTTTACCAGAAAATACAGGTCAAGTTTAAATACAAATTTAAAACTAAATATGGCATTTGAAATTTTGGCAGCCTTCAGGGGCATTCGTAGCGTTACGACACATTTAGTTTCTTGATCAGAAAGTATGATAATTTATCGGTGAACAAATTTTGATGTGGGCCCCTGGAACTGCAAGATTTAGTAGCCCACATGTTTAGTAAAGATTTCAATTAGTTTAAAACCCTTGATAAGAATGATTTTCTCTGCTTAGGATATATATGTTTTTAGGGATGTGCGATTTTATCGGTATACTGGTATATCGTGATTTTTAATTGTGTGATATGTATCGTGATACGGAGATTAAAATACGGGTATTTAGGTACATAGTTATAAATTCCAGAAATTATTTATTTTTTGTTCAATCTTTCAAATTACAATTACAGGAAGTGTAAAGAATGTAGAAAATGGTAAAAGAACGGCATCCTAGTATCCAAAATTGCTTGATATTACATACATGTAAATAGATGAAAAAAGTGAAGTTATGTTTTTCCAGCATATTTTTCGGGAAAAAAATTATGAACATTCATCTAAAATCATTGTAAAATTGCTTATAAAAATATCATGATATTATTGTGATATTTTGGGGGAAAATCGTGATATATCGCAATACAAAATTTTTGGTGATACCCATCTCTATATGTTTTGTTCCAGCAGAAGCTGTGCTCTTGTTTGTGTACTGTCTCACAATGTTTTGAATTGATGAAATGAAAGCACTTGGTCTGCTTGTTAAGGCCAAATTAAAAAATATGTGTGGTTCCGGTTACCCTATTTTATACCCCCGACCCTAAACTTTTTTTGGCAATTTTCATATTTTTTGTGGAATTTTCCCCGATTTCCATCAATGGCTTCAGTTTAAGTTTTAGTTTCAGCAATGACGGCCTCCTTGCAAAACATGGTGCAAGTCTTTAATAGTATTAAGTCCAAAGTAAGCTAGCATGTAGGTGTCCCCTACTAATATTTACTAGTATATTATCACATCACATCTAAATGCCATTTGCAAAGCAGTGATAGGTATTATGTAGAAAAATTAAGAAAATCATTTTGTTAAAAAAAAAAAAAAAAAAAAAAAAAAAAAAATTCCCTACCTACCTACCCTAATTTTTATGGAAGTGTAACCGGAACCACACTTATTTTTTTTGTTTGGCCTAATGACTGTGGAATGTATTTTTTTTTAGGATTACTACAGACAGATGATAGAATTGCCCTAACAGAGATCACCAGACAGTTAAAGCTAGAAAATACAGTAGGGGATAAAGTATTTGTAAGTCAATTTTCCTAATATTTTTTATATTTTTTTTTCATAACAGATCTTTACAATAGATCACTGAGCTTCCAATCAGAAATTTTCGTTTTTAATTCTGAGCAAAATTTAAAAAAAAAATTAATCGGCTGGTTCATTGAGATAGAGTTTATATTGAAAGTTCAGTTTGACTCTGAAAACCAAGTCTTTGGTACATTCATGCATTGCAGCAAATGGCAACATCCCAAATGGGATAATTATATAGTAATGTGCAAGACTGCCAGGGCAGACCCAGAACTTTTAAAGTATATTTAAATATTTTGTTCAGTTGGTCCTTGGTCAAAAAAGATTAACAGGACTGTCAGATCACTCATTTTTGAGATGTCTACTCTCAATGATTGGAAAGATTAAGTGTCCTTTTCCATAGTCACAGTAAGAAGAAAAATAACCTGTAAAATCATCTACACATGCTGTAGTGCACATTCAAATTAGAAAACTTCTGATCTTTAAAAATCAGTTTCTTTGTTTCCGTATTATTTTGGTTCCATGAAATGATTACTACACAAGTCAGTGTTTTATCTTTCCTTTCCAAATACCTTCATTTTTGAAGAAAGGCAAAAAATTATTTTAAATATATTTTGACCCTTTCAATGCATATACAATCTTAAAAATGGACCAATATTTACATAAATGGAGGTGGCATAGTCACATTGACCATTCTGATCTTCCTAATCATTGGTTCTTTAAAATTAAGCTATTTTGCTTACCATAAAACATTATTCGAGGGCAATTGATATACTGGGGTGATCCATCTACCTTTCTCCCAATTGAAATGCCATTATGTATGTATTTTACGAAATTTTAGTCTATGCATTTAAAAGACCAGCAGAGATATTGCTATTACAAGTGTCTAGGGAAGTATTGTAAGCTCATTCAAGAAATGCAGGTTTGCTAATGATATGATTTTCAATTTTTTTCTAAAATTTTGTTCACTGAAATGATACAAATTCACTTTACAGGGGTCATTCTCAGAAACACTTCAGTTTTTATTAGAGGCATTGAAGAGTGGCAAGTACAATTTTGATAGAAGTATGACTATTAAACAAATTTTTAAAAGTAAAAAAAAAATATATTCTTTGAAAACTGAAAAGAAAAAAAATTGTATTAACTTTTTAGAAGAATACCAATGTGAAGTATCTTCTTGGTAACAAAAAACCTTTTAAAATCATTGAAGTAATATTATATTATAAATAGAATTTTAAAAAGTATATGTATTTTAACAAGACATGATTATAGATATTTACTTGCTGCTTGAATGATTCTTTGAATTGATTCAGGTGACCAGAGCAGTAAGCCGATCCTGTTCATCCTGGATGAGTTTGATCTGTTTGCCCATCACAAGAACCAGACATTACTGTATAACCTGTTTGATGTGGCTCAATCAGCCCAGGCTCCTATCTGTGTTGTAGGAGTGACATGTCGTCTCGTGAGTATATTTTGATTTCATAGACTTGCTAGAGTAGAAAATGTAGTATTTTGATTAAAGTAAGAATTGTTTTAGGCTACAGAAAATTGAAATTACTGTTCTTGGAACCACGCGTAGCCATTTTGCAGTAGCCACATTGCAATTTTTTTTATTGTATTTGCAATAAAATAAAAAGTTGGTAATATGGAGACCAATTGGAAAAAAATTACGCCCTTGTGGTTTTGCTATCAGTTTTCGTTTCCAGTATCTATTTCGTATTGACGTGAACATAGACAGCCACTCGACATGGACACTTTGTTTGAGAGAAATGAAAATATGTATATATTTGATGAATTCTGTGAGATTTTAAATATATCTATAGAATGACTCCAGCATATTTATAAAGTGAAGATTTTTCATAGTTATTTTATAGAAAATTCAGAAATAAAAAAAAAAACAAAAAAAAAACTCCCACATCTGGCTTAAGAATCAATTTTACCAATCAATTTTACTTTAATGCCCTTATATGCTGCTCTTGCATGTACTTTTAAGGGAATTTACTGCAAATAATGTTTTTGGAGAATTTGAGTGAAATCTGTCAGAGTTGTCTCTCTTTGCCTTTTCTTGCAGGATGTTATTGAGCTTCTGGAGAAGAGAGTGAAGTCAAGGTTTTCACATCGACAAATTCATCTGTTTAATAGTCAGACAATCCAAGATTATATTGACATATTTAAAAATCTATTGCAACTGGATCCTCAATTTCCTGACCAAAAGTTTGCCAATAGCTGGAATCACCATGTTGAGGTTAGTTTGTGTATCATGTCATTGACAAGTAATAATTATAAACATGAAGTACTTTAATTGAATTAATAAATTTTATAAATAAAAAATGGTAGACTAGAGGTTAATAAGGATTAACTTTTTTTTAAGTTTTAAGTCAAAATTGTTTTTTGGGGGGGGGGGGGGTGGAGAGGGGTGGAGGAGGTAAATATTGGGGGGGGGGGGGGAGTACCTTAGTTTGAATTGGGAATTGGGCCTTTGAATGGCCCCAATTATAAAGAATCAACAGCCCTGAATGTATTGTATGTCTATTGCAGCAACTCTCTAAAGATCCTACTGTGATGGATTTATTAAAACAGCAGTTTGAATCTACGAAAGACGTGAGAGCTCTTCAACAGCTTCTAGTAAGATGTTTATCAAATTCATGTTAATGATTATAAGGAAAAAGAATATATATACCCTGTGTGTTCTATAATATGTGCATGCTGTTACATGTAATATGTAATCTGTTCATTCAAGTCTGCTGGGTTTGAATTCTGAAATGAACTATTGTAAGAAACCAATCAAGCAATAAGAAATCAGCAGTTCAGAATTTAAGTTCAGGTTTTTTTTTTTTGGGGGGGGGGGGTATTTGTTCATAAAGATTTTTATTTGAGTTTGTATTTTGCAATATCTATTTTGTCTTAAATTGTTAGAAAGTAATCATTTACATTGCTGGAGATCTTTGGTAATGGTGTGTGCTTTACAAAATGCTTCTCTCTCATAGATGTATCCAGTATGTCACTTAAGTGACACTTCTCCCACTCTATCTATCAGTGATTTTGTGGAGTCCAGAAAACTGCTAACCACAGATTCAAAGTCTGCTATGTTGCATGGTATTTTACTTTTTTCTTTTTCTGTCATTGAAATAAGCAGAAAATGACAAGGTGTATTTTGTCATATTATCCTGTGTTGTCTCTGAAATGTGATATAATGTTCAGTGTTACAGAGTTTATCATCATAACATCATGTCGGTGTAGAAAAAATATAGTGATAATCTTCAAGTCTTTAAAATGCCAATTAGGTGTAGGGTTTATCTTGTAGGTGTGTCTATACTGGAACTCTGTCTGATCATTGCTATGAAACATCTGACTGAAATATACGAAGGGGAACCATTTAATTTTGAAATGGTATACAGTGGTGAGTTTTTGTTGCAAGAAAGTTAATATTAAATATAGAAGTTTAATTAAATTGCACAGGAATTTTTATTTCTGGTTTACATTTTAATTAAAGTTTTGTGTCATGTAGAATTGCTGTGTTTGTGATGTATGTCTTATAGACATGTATTTTTCTTCATAGAATATTCGAAGTTTGCTCAGAGGAAATCTTCAATGCAGGTGTTTGAAAAAGCAGTAGTGTTAAAGGTAACTGCTCAAGAAAAGATAGTTATGGTTTGAGAAATAAAAATGAACTAAGCAGGCAAAAATTGATGATTAAAATTAATATCAATTTTTTTCTTCACAAAATCTCAAGTGCCATTGGCTTATTTTAGACACGTTAATGCTTAAATATTGAATACTGCTCCAATAATTTCAATCTTAATGAATTCAGCCCATTTTTTAGAACGGTTGCTTTTACTTATTTGCTTTACGAATACCTTTTGTTCTAGGCTTTTGAGCACTTGATCCACTTGGAGCTGGTGAAGACAGTGGATGGGGCTGGAAGTCGTGTACAGAAGGAGTACAGACTGATGCAGATGTTAATTCATGGGACACAGATCATGGAGGCGCTCCAGAAGTACCCCCAGTGTCCTACTGATGTCAGGCAATGGGCGGCCTCCTCTCTAGCAACATGACAACCAGACTGATGACATTTATTGTGTAAGTGGATTTTATTATACATCAGGAAGGACCTAGCAAATCTATGATATGCATAAGGTCATCTTGCACAATTAATTTATCATCCCAAGGAATTCTTCTTAAAACTTTTAACAAAAGAAACTGCACTGTTTTGATAAGGAGAAAAATGAGATATTTACATGTGCCATTTTTATAAGATTTATTTAATTTTTTATTTTAAATTTTACATCAAAATCTTTGTTACATAAGAATGTTTGGAAATCACTGTTAAGTTGTGCAATCAGACTGATAAGTGATAACATCTTTTTGACAGTGTTTATAGCAATGAAAATACATCATCAAATTGAATACGTTGTTATAAATTTCTTGAAAACAATAGGAGAAATCTTTTTTTAAATTGGTAGATTTCTTATATTTTTTAATGTTGATAATAAGCACAATAATAATTTTTTGAATCTTAATGTATTGTAAATAACTGTTGTTTGGCAAATTAATTCATTTACCACTGTTTACCGACATCCTCAGAATCTGAGCACATTCAGTATTTTTAAAAGTTTTTTTTTTAAAGTCTCCCCCCCCCCTCGAAAACAAATTATCTGTATGTCTTGGAATATCAATGATATTGCATTTGCCTTTTATTTTAAAGGAAATACAATCTGTTGAAGGAGATATAATTTTGAAAAAAAAGAACGGAGAAGTTATTAATCAATATGATAGACATTGCTTAATATACGAATATATTTTATATTGTTTTTATTGTAGAGCAAGGCACAGTTTCATCATTCAGATAATGGTGTGAAATGCAGAAACAACAGAAAATCCCTCTCTGATTTATAGGCATGTTGGTAAAAAGAACAAGACTGAGAATGTCTGTGCATTTTACATTTCTGTGAAGTTGTTGACTTGGTTGATTCAGTTTTGTGTTTTGTTGTTCTGACTAACATAGTTATTTTCTTGATTAAATAATAAAAGTTATTGTTTTGTTTTGTTATATTTTTGTGGTACTTTTCATAGTTCTTCAGTTAATTATGAAACTGCTTTATGCAGTCTTATTTTTTTATTCTTGGTGATGTTTAAAAGCTTTTTTGATGAATTTTCGTAGCTCAGATACATGTATTTATGAAACCTCTATAAAATGATCTATATGACAAAACTTGTCCTGGTTTTAAAACTGTAAATATTAAAAGTGATAATTTCTCTCTAAACGGTCTTAATATTTGAAGCCAACACAGTGAATCATTTTGAATTGAAATATATTAATAAGAAAATCTTAATTTTATGTTTTTTCAAGGTATTTATTGTCTCATATTTTAAATATAAGTACATATCAAGCAAATGCAAAGGCATATATTTTTTTTTGATTTGGAATCATATCATACATGTACATAAAAAAATTACTATATTTAAGCTGTGTGTATACATCATCAGATACTAGTAATCGTTGATTAAATTTGTAGATTGGAAGAATACATCAAATCGTTGTAATCTTGATCACTAAGTTTCGATGTTTGAACTTCTTGCATAGTTGACTGTGAAGCAATAACAACTGAAAGGTTGACTACATCATTTAAACTACATGTAATCACTAGTTGACTAATTTAAATCAATAGATTTAATTAATGAAAAAAATATAAACAATAACAAAGTAAAGGTTCTAAAAGCACAGTAAAATTGTATATATACTCATGAAAATATTGTGCAAAGTGTATAAAAAAAATATAATCACAAAAAGAGCACTAAAAATGGAAAACTTCAAAATGTGAAGAAAAAAATGTAAAAATATACAATATATACAAAGACCTTGTATATTGCAATACCCCCTGAACACATGGCACATATATCCGTTATGGAAAGCATCTTTATCCAAGTAATTGTATAAATAAAAAGAAAGCACTTGTCCTTTTAAGGTTTAAAAATGTACTGTAGGATGTTGCAATTGAATCATCACCCTGTGTCACACCATAACTTTCAGGAATGAATTTGGATCCAATTTTTTTTTTTTTTTTTTTTTTTTTGGTAAATCAGTAAGCGAGTTCTGCGCCCCATGGGCGATAAGGTTTTGAAGAGCTATTGAAATTATTGCCATTCTGTGACATCATGGGCATCGAGTTCAGAGACACTGCAAATTGACTGGGAAGCTGTGGAATTGATGATATTAATGGGTCCTGTCCAGCGGTGTTCATGTTGGACATCTGAGAATGTGGTGGCATATTAGACGAGGACTGAATTCGCATATTTCCATGCAATGTGGTAGAGGAAATGTCTGGTTGACTTACTCTTGTTTCACTGTAAGATAATGATGAGAGGGCCTGTGCAGAAGAATGAGGTCCCATAGGTAAGTCTGCTTGATTTGGTAATTGTGACGTAATCATTGAACCCATTGGCGTCATAGCACTTGTCGGGTACTGACTGTTTATCCCAGTGTGGGTAGGTAGGGGACTCCAGGAAGAATGTTGAAACGAAGCTTTTGCTGCAGCCTCCCTTTGAGCAGAAAAACACTGAAGATGGCTAAGTAACCTCATCCGCAGAGGGTCTTGCAAATCAAGTCCCTCTACCGCAACTAAATATCTTGCAACTTCGGTAGCACACTCGCGGAAACCTACACCCCGATAGTCAATTGCCAATGCTTGTGGGTCAGGATAGTTGTAAGTATTCAGTCCTGAAATATTAAAAGATAAAAATGATTATGGCATGCATTTTTTACTGGAGGGAAGGTTATCAGTTATTACCAAGAGAATATGATTATTTGATTTATCAAGTTTCCCCCTTATTTAACATGGTCATTGATAGTTTACTCGTGTCGACCTCGCTCACTTGGGCTTTGTTTCATCAAGATTTTTGCGCATTAGCCACATATTGGCGTGAAAAATTGATATTGTTTCAGTGTTAATTTTATTAAATCATCACAGCAAGTAACTGCAGATAGGTCGTACGTCGGGCAGCACAAGAGACAAAGGCCAAATGTCCCGTTTACTTTTCTGTTGACATCTTAATCTCTGTCAACGGAACACCGATGACGCTCTTAACAAATTAGATACCGCCTTCAACAATTTTCTATCAGAGATTATAATAATATTTAACTACTTGGGTTACTTTTGAGCACAATATTTAAGATAAATGTAATGCGATTGGAAGTTAAATTTTCCAGAAAAACGAGTTTTAAGATAATTTAAGAAATATATAAGGAAAAAAGACGTACCTTTTTGATGTAGAAGTTTAAGATGGTCTACTGTCATTTGAAGTATTTCAGCTTTCTCCAATTTTGCTGATCCCTGCTTTTCAAATGCAGTAGGAACAAGTCTTCTAAGTTCGGATAAACTGTTGTTGATGCGATCTCTCCGACGTTTTTCAATCACCTGAGAAGAAAAATTCAAAGTTTAAGATATTAAATATTTCAAGTTTGCATGTTCCAATGAAGAAGTTTAACAAGATATAATTTCTTTCAATTGTAAGTTTTGTCATATTATCTGTACTTTGTTGAAGAGATATATTAAACGTAAATTACAAATTAAATTATAAGCTTATAATACTTGTTAGCTTATGCTAAGTATATTTTTTCGAAGAGGATTACGCAAACATAAATTGAAAGGATGTGCTAAATGCGTGTAAATGATCGGTTCATCTTTTTTTTTTTTTTAAGTAAATGATCATTTATTCATCTTATTTTTTCTGCAAGAGAATTTTACGTGTTTGCATCCCCCTAATTTTTTTCCCCATGTGAAAACTTCCAGAAACTTTACAACTGTTATTGTATATGCCTACACGGGGATTTTTCGAAATTGTCTCTATAAGTGCATTTAAAAAAAATATGAAGAAAATATTACATACCCCACGTCTCTTTTTTCTATCACCGATCTGACAACTTTGTGAAGGAGAACTGTAAGAAACAATATATGATCCATTATAGTTTTGTTATAGTAAACTTGTTCTGTTAAACGTCCAGATGACAACATATGACTCCTTAATATGTATATTCGGTTTTTATATCCATTGCTTTTTGGTGTGGGATGCTGTCGCACGTGTACACGTGCATTGGCACAAGTCCGAAGTTGCAAGTTTCCAGTATATATTATACACGCGCGTGTCTGTCAAATACACATCAATACTACTTACCTTGCTTTCAGGGCATCATCATAGCAATCTTCAGCTTCGCTGTCACTCAAACTTCGTTTCATTTTTTTTCTTTCCAAACGGAAAAGGTGAATTTGTTAAAAGAAATAAATTGCGGATGTTGCTCCCTTCCTGAGCCACGTTCAGAGTAAAATTGACCTACGTTTCTCACGCACTCTAATGTATTAAAAAGTGTCTCTGGACGAAGCGCACACCTCCCGTTAATTGTTACCCGCGGTTGATTGACAGTCGGTCGCTTGTCCGACATGCGTAGATTGTTTGATACCGATTGTCACACGCGATACGATTGGCCGACGGTCTTCACGCGCGCGCCAGATGCGCGGCCCGTGTCATGCATATTGTGCTGAATATACACATGGCAGGCGCCTGACATCGAAGTAAACGGCTACTGTCCACGTGTTTTTACCAACTAACAAGTCCCGAAGTATTAATGATATGTATTATAATGCTGAGGTAATAAGTATGCCATTATTTTTTAGTACTGTGTCATTCATTTTAAGGTAAAATATAACGAGGACACAACTGGTACTATTTGTTTACATTATCGTTTAACTGAAATGTACTTGATCAGGTATATGTGCAGGTGAATGTAAATTGGAACCGCACGGCTTGCACGAGTAGATCGTGGGAAAGCCCAATATTTTAGTCTTCCATCATTTGAATTAGGAACTGTTCTCTGTTTATTTGCAGAATTCTTGCACTGCACAATGCTAGCGCACTGCGACTCCCGTGTGAACTTCATTTTATCTACTGTAAAGAGAATTAAATATTTTGAAAGAAGTTGGTTATCGAAATTGTTACAGCATTGTGAAAAGTTTACTCTTCATATGTTTGTTTTTCTTTAGAAATCTTTTTACAGTGTAATGTTGCCTGTACACAAATAAAAGAGCAAATTTGCACCTGTATGTGATCTTCACCAATTGACACTATTTTCATCCATCCAAAGACTTAAAGTATACCGGTATGTATTGTAAGTTGTACAAGTGTTATAGATCAAAGAAGAGCATTATGAATATATGGCATCTTATATTGGTAACATAAGACCTACCGATAAATTGGGTGGCGAATGCGATTAAATGCTGTATTGTGTAACAGTCAATTCATAAAGTTTCCCAAGGGACATTTTATCTACTCGGATACAAACAGAATTCGTTATGAGAGAAAATTAGATTATAGAGGGAACTTTTGATTACAGCCTTACAATTTAACCATGGAGAGGTTTTAGGTGGATAGACAAGATAGAAATGCGTTGTTGATTTTTTAAGCTTGGCTCGTAATTTATACGTATACCTTGAAACGTGAAGTATAACATTTGGTGTTCTGTTTTATGTATAGTAGTTGGGACTAAGAAAAGCAACATTTGTGTCCGTCTGACTGTCTCAGTGTCTATTGAAGTCTATATTTAAAAAAAACTGTAAAAATAAATAAATAGATAATTAACAAAACCTGTTTTGGAAACTAGAAGAAAGAATCACGGAAGTTGTTCATACATGTACAGCTGTTTGATTTTGACGTAGAGGATGGATACTGGAAGTTAATACAACGAGGAATTCCACATAAATCATTGAAAACTTTGGGGTATTTGCTAACATTTTTTTATGTCATAAAATAAAATCTGGAACTAAACATGCTCAAATAGTATCATGTTGTAAATTTTGTTTACTATGTGGAGGTAAATGCAAAATTATAATACGATAACTGTAAATTTTGTATTTGACTTCACCTAGTAAATTCAAAATTAATAACATGGTATATAATAGTTACGTTGCAAATTATAGTTAAGATATAAAGTGTATCAGAAAAGACATGATTTTCTACTATGAAGTTTTTAATGCAAGATTTGAAAAATTATTTCCGTTTGCTTACATGTTGCGAAAAAAGGGGGTGGAACAAAATGAAAAAAATAAATAAATAAAAAAATAAGTACATGTAAAACATTTCGACAAGTTTACTGCATAATGCTCATAAAATATAATTTATATGTTTATTTTAAAAGCATTTTTATTCCTTTTAAATTAATTGTTCTTTGTGTATATTATATGAAATTTTATGCACTTTTATAAATTTTTGACCATCATTTTTGGCTTTATAAAAAGGAAGGGCGTAACTATTCCACTTTTTCCCTTTTCAAAAGGAAAACGTAAATACATCATCATTAACAACAATACAACAACAATATAAACCTAATCAATAATTAAAAAAAAAATTACTAAATCATTTAATGCAATGTAAAGGTGTGTGTATATTGTATACATATGTTAGTGTATAAGGAATGATATAGATCCAGAACTCCACGGAATACGATTTTGTACATTTCTGTAGAAAGCCTTTTTTCCGCTGATTTTTTATTTATATGTGTGATATTATGATTTTGATAAGGTGTAATTAAATTGGATTTGATTTATATAGATAAGAAGGTTTTTTTATATTTATGTTTAAGTAAGTAGTTGTTATATAGTATTATATCACTTTGAAAAAAGTAAATGATTAACAGTGTTGCCTTTTGTAAAGTATGTACAAGTTTAAATTGACTTACAACAATTCTTCAATTTAAACAATGTTTAAAAAATATCTTTATGTATTAGATCAATCATGCAATTTATAAAAGTATTAATTTATTGTATAGAAAATTGTATAGACAATGCGTAAGGAACTATATTGATCCACAACTCCGCGGAATAAAATTTTGTACATTTTTTCCATCAGTTTTTTCTGCCTTTTATATATATATATATATATATATATATATATATATATATATATATATATATATATATATATATATATATATATATATTTAGATGTATAATAGTATGGTTATGATAAGATGTTACAAAATTCCATTTGAATTATATACTAGTAGATATAGAATTAAATATATTCTTCTTTAAGTAGATTATCTATAATTAAATATATCTTTTTTAAAAAAATTGACGAATAGTACTTCCTATTGTAAAGTGCAGTGTATGTATGTTAAGTTAAGATTGATGTAGCTTTTAACAGGATGAAGATGATTTTTGTCAGAATGTAAAATTTGGGCTGCTATGGTTTATTGCAAGTACCTCAAATTGTGAATTCATTGTATTGCATGGTACTAAATAATGAAGTAGTTTAGAAAATGGACTTGGAATTTCACCATTTTGTACCGTATATTTTTTGTGCAAGTACTGACTGTTATAGATGTATACTCACTTGATTTGGTCATCTTAAAGAAATCTTGGACCTAATAACTTAATTATTTGTAATAAAACCTTAATGTGCATCAGCTGCATTTTTTCTAGCATTCACAAATTTCAGAGAAATTAACACTATCATTAAAATGCCAAAACGTCTTCACCTGTACTTCTAGTTTGACACGTACTAAATATTAATGTTGCATCGGAGCCAATTGAACCAAACTCTTTTAATTCATTAGAAAATATCGATTTTTTCCAATCATTAACTTCCCTGACACCTCTACCAATGCATGTCACATGCATGCCAAAACGCGGCCTTGCATGAATTATAACGGTTGACACGCTCTGAATGACGAGGAAACCCAACCCTCCTAATGCCTGAAAACCAATAAGTCACCTGGTATTGTAAACAAGGGATCTGCAAGCTCTTATGCTTTGTGTAAATACCGGAAATATACATCTTATCCGGATAATAAAGTACTATTTTGTGTAGTTCAGATTATTTACTCGTCAAGATTTTTTCACGTACGTATTTTATTTTTCTTCATAAAAGAATTCAAATTGTTTGTTCGAGTTAACATCACAATAGAAATCGATATTTTGAGAGCCACGCGAACTCTCTGCTTGAGTCGTTTTTGCCACCGTGCACCTGGCATAAGTGACGTCACCTCATTGAGCGATAATGTGTCGAGTCGCGTGCCACGGTATTGGTAAGATGACAGTGGAGCTAACTTGACACCTAAACGAGAAAGATTTAATAGGATGGTTAGTAAGCAAACGGTAAATTTCAGACTTGACATTTTGAGGGAAATTTTTGACATTGATACAACAGATTGATGTTTTTTTAGACAGATGTACATCGCTGACACCTTGGACATCAAGTGTTTAATATTTGAAAAACTAAATGATAGGATTAAAATAAAACCGACACATGTCAAAATTTGCTGATAATTTCCAGTCATTTAGGATCTGACTGTTATTGATTTTTAACAAGGTTTATGAATGATGAACAACATGGCGAAAGAAATTGTAATTAATTTGTTGTTATATCAGATAATTTCCATACCTGGTCAGCTTTATATCTAAGAGAGTGATTGAGATGTGGCTAAGCTTTAGGTCCACTTCTTGCATAGTCCAGCATCGCTTTAGTTTTGAGAAAATTAAGATATTTTAAACCAAACTATATTTTACTAGAGAAAAAAATCAACTTAAAATATAATTTTAATGTCGGAACTGTGGAGGTGTAAGCATTTATCGGCATCCTTGTCCTTCAACCCTCCCATCCACCCAAAATGTATTGCACATTACCAACTGGGATTGGATATGCAGGGTTCTCATTAACGCAAGAATCTGCGTCCTAGACGCAGCAAAATTACTTGGGACGCAAGGTTCTTAAAATCGATGCGTCCGCGGACTCATGATCGGACGCATCCTCGTTAGCGAGAAAATTCGGGTAATTTCAAAAACGGGGAATTTAGATGTTAGGATTTGTCAAAGAAATATTTAATCGAAACCTTCCTGTAACTATCATAAAGTTCATCCAAGAAATAACTTTTCTTGTACTTATTTCTCTTTTTTTTTAACAGGGATTGATCATAATTAAGATACTTCATGTTTATTAGTCCATAGTCATAATAATGTTGCATGCCAAACTCCGACAGCTGTAAACACACTGCAGCTTCTTTAAAAAAAAAAAAAAAAAAAAAAAACACTTTTGAATCTTGAGTGTCTACATGTAGAAACCATAATTACTGCTTGTATACACAATGCGGCTTGATTATCTTGTGAATTTCACCCAGTGCAGACGACCAACAGGATTAGTTACGCCTCATTGCACATGACACCTGTGATTGTATACAGTCAACTTTCGGGTACTAGTTGATTATGCAACAGTTAATTTTAGCTTTATAAACACCAAGTTAATTTTTATGGCAACTGATTACGCGTGTATTTTAGAATGTGGCTTGAATGCATTACCAGTTTATATACTTGAATATGTTAATATTGCGTAAACAAACTGATAAAATG